AAATCTGGGCAGCGTTTCTCGTACAGAACCTACAAACAACTCATAAGAGCAGCTGTAGTAGCTGAAATCTGCTGGATTGAAGTCCTGAAAGTGGCCATAGGTTTAGGGAAGGAACAGGGCAAGCTTGCCTTAACAGATCCCCTTGCTTGAGCTGAGGTTTCGGGAGTTCCTGACTTAGAGATCAATTTCTGTTTTTCAGTTGTTAAGTATTTTTTTCTATGAATTTATGTAATTGCTTTTCTAACTATATGTGTGCATATGTAGATATATAGTGGTATCAAAGTATGTAGTGTAGATACAGTTCCGCTATGCTGAAAAAAATCTTCAGTTTACCAAAAACCCTTGTATTTGTTTCAAGTGGCTGTTTGAGACTGGCATTTTATTTCATTTGCTACTCTGCTGTAACTGTGCCATGAGAAATGGTGACTAATCCTATCCTGTTTATCCCTCCTCGTGTGTGTCATCTGTATATGTTCTCTTGGTTAGCGCTTTTCCAAGCTCTTCTGACAGCAAAGACATTCTGTACCTTTTTATCCTCGTTATTTTCATCTATATCCTCTCAAATTCTGTGATGTCCTTCTTTGTGAGGTTAGAAGGACCTAAACTGTATATCATCTTCAAAATGCAGTAGTGCAGTGGATTTATAAAGTGACACTATTCTCTTTTGTTCTCTGGTCACTGTTCATTTATTCTTTTTTTTTGAACACTGAGAATTGATGTTTCTCATCTGTATGAGAAACAAAACTCAAGGTCCCTCTTGTGTCCTAACGACTAATCTAGAGACGTATCTTGGGTTTAAAAAAAAAAATAAAATCAAGGGCTTCCCCTCTGCCCTGTCTGCAATGTGCCTCACTTTTTCCTATATAGAATAGCCGTGCGAATTCATGCCATGAGTCCAGCTAGCCCACTGTCCTGTCTACAGCAGCAATTGTAAACAGATGCTCAGGGAAGAATAAGAACAGGGCAAACACAGATGATATGTCATTGAAGTATTCTCACATCCATCAGCCATTTTCAGCTCTGATGTGGCTCAGAAAGCTAAACAGTGAATCTTTCTTTCAGTAAATCTTCCTTCCAAGTGCTTATCCATTCTCATCATGAAACTGTTTACATGTGTAAACAAACTGTAGGCCTTTTGGCGAATAATTGCACAGGTATACTGTCCACTGAGTATCTGTTTTTATCATTCTGGTATGCAGTATTCTAAGACCTTTCTGCAATTTGTCAGGTTTTTTTAGTAACTCTGAATAATTCGGTATTGTTGATGAAACTTTGCAACCATGATATTTGCAGTGTTTTCCAAATTCATGAAAGGCTAAAGATGACAGGTAATTTATTAGTTAAAAGACAGGAAATAAAGCATAGGACTAAAGACCTCGTCAAAGACTTCTGAAAATCCAAGTTTAGTGTTCATAAATATATCGACTCTTATCTACGTACTCATTGACTCTTTCAGTGAACTGTAGTAGTTCTATAAGGTGGGACTTCTTAAAAGTTTCTTACAGAATTGACTCTTCCTTATGAATTGTCTGTATACTAAATTCTTACTTTTTTCCTGCTTGGCAAGTACAAAGATTACATTTACTTGTATGGTTCATTAAGGGAGTCCATCCCAGGACTGCAAACAATCAAAAAACCTAAGTTTCCCATTTACTGCCCTTCATTTCTTTGGTACCAGGCATGTTTGGTTAATATAGGTGATAGGTAGCAGTCTTGTATTTGAGTTTTTCTAGGACGTTTGAATGACTATTGTGTGCTACTCCAGGCTTTTTTTTTTTTTTCTGAAACTCTTCTTTGCGGGAGGGGCAGCGCAGAAGGTCTTACTGCATTAAGATCCAGGTAATCTCAGCCCTGATGCAAGGAATGCATTTAGCCTTTCAAATGTACTCTGCTCTTTGAGACTGCAATTGTATTTTGAACATCGACTAGCTCTGCAGACTGTTTGGCAGGCATCTTGCTTTTGATGTTCTTGAAATAGGTTTTATTAGTTTTTTTAAGCAAGTTGTTCCACTTAGTTTTGTGGTGAGATCATACAGTTCAAGTATCTTGCTCAGTATGTGTATTACAATCCCTCTTTATTACTTACTATCTGGCACCCCAGAGTCCCTGTGATGTTAGTATTGTTCAGGCTGTTATCCAGTTATATCTAGATTTATCTCTGGATATAATTGGAAGACCACCTTATTGTTGGTATTACAGTGAAGACTTCAGTGCAGTAGGTGTGCTGCTTGCCAATGAGGTTCTACTTTTAAGTATCCCCTCAGTTCTAGTTTCTTTGGGGTTTCGAGGTGGGTGTGTCTTTTATTTGTTTGCATGTGTGTGGTGTGTGTGTGTGTGCTTTTTTGTTGTTCTGGGTTTTTTTGATTACTAAAAAAATGTTTGGGTTGTTTCTTTTGTATAGGAAAGAAGTATCCATTAAACATCAGTGTTATCAGCACAGTATCCTAACCCTTGTAAAAACAAATTGCAATCTAGAGAGAAAGCATCATAGACTGCAAGCATTTCAGCATTCCACAGACCTGCCTTGAGTGCATGAGGTGTGTGTATTTATTACACTGTTCTGCTCAGATAGTTTTATCTGACCTCTTCTTCTGTCACTTAGCTGTAAGAGGTTGAGAAATTGATGTACACATTTTTACGGTCCTAGGTTATTTTTTGGTTTTGGGCATTTCTTAGCAGCTTTTGCATTTTTGAGTTGCAGCTTGTCCAGGAAGCTCCTAGGTTAGCTGAAACTCCCTAGAACCTGAAGAGCATTTGCAGAAGATGATAAAGGACAGGTTTAAATATGCATCTTAAATTAAAGGCAGCTGCTATTAGCACTACAGGGAGTCCTATAGGAGCCTATATTTGCTGTGTCTAGTCTTAGGCTTGTCTTTCAGTATCTTGCACAGTTTAGTAGTCCTTGCTGACACAGTTAACCTTCATAGATTGTAGACATCAATGAAATACTCTTTAGTCAAATTATCTTGAAAAGCTTGTTCCCCCCCCCCCCCCCCCCTTTTCATTATTCAGTTTTCGGTGTGTATGCATGCGTGTGTGTTAGCTGTTTGTTCCAGGGACGATATAAGCACGTGGCTACCTGCTTGGCAGACAACAAGAATCCTGTATCTTGGCTTATAGAACAGGATGTGCCGATTACACCTGAAGCCAGCTGTTTGATTTCTGGTTACTGTGTATTGATCAAGTACTCGGAGAGAAAGCCAGCTGACATCTGTCTTAGCTAGAATTTGAGAATCTTCTGTCCTCTCTTCCCATTTAGTTCTTACGTATTGCCTTATTAGGTACCCATGACATCAGAATCGTAGGATAATTCAGATTGAAAGGGATCTCGGGAGGTTTCTAGTTCAACTTTGTGCTCAAAGCATGGTCAGCTCCTAGGTCAGACCAGGCTGCTCAGGGCTTGTCTAGTCTAGTCTTGAAAACCTCCAAGGATGGAGACTGCACAACCTCTTTGGGCAAACTGTCCCAATGCTTTCCCATATTACAGCGTAGAGGCTTTTGTGCCAAGGTCCTGTAATAGAGCTAGGAGTTTTGAAGCAGTTTCCAGACTTCACTGACGAGTCTACTAAAACTTTGTCCCATCTTCATTAGTGTCAAGCACTATGCAGGTCCTGGTCTAGGCCTACTTATAAGCTAGTGTGTTTTCTATTTTCAGATCTCTCCTTGGGAAAACTTAGCGCGCTCATTTCATTCTTATTTTAGCCCATGGGGCCATTCTGGGCAAAGTACTGTAGATTCTTGTGGATGTAACTAGAGATATAGGATGAATGTATGGATCTTGATGTTGCTAATTCACAATTTCATCATTTTGTGGTGTTCTTTAAGCCATTCCTTCTGCCTACTGATTTGAGGGGAGAACCTGTGCTCCTGGGACAGCTTGTTCCTGCTTTTTGTTTTTCATAAGCGTTAATAGAAAGCAGATGTGAGTGTTTTCAACAGTGTATTTTTCTGAAGTCTTAACATATCGATGCGTTGGAAACAAAATCATCGTTGCCTACTCCTAACCGTGGCAGACCTGCAGCCTCAGAGTAGCAAATGTTATAATCTGCTGCCTTCAATAAATAGTTTTTCCTGGACGGAATTAACCTAACTTGGTTAGGGCAGAGCTTGTCATTCACACTTTTTTTTTTTTTTTTAACCTCTGACTCTTCCAATATATTGTTGGTTACTTTAGAAGGTCTTGGAAATGAAAGAAACACTAGCCCTTCAGTTACTCATTTCTCTCAGCACACATTTCTGACTCCTGTTAAAATTGTCTTTCTTTAAAAGAACAGATGGCGCTTTCTCCTGACTTTACCTTTTGACAGTATTTATTGTGATCATTAATATAAATGATTGTTACCACAGTCAAAATGCCCAGACTGCGCAATTTCAGTTTGCTTTCCAGTCCCTTGAGCTCACCGCAGAGTTTAAGCAGCAGAAGAGGAGTTGCTGCTCCTCTGCGTGGAGCATTGTCAGCCCATAAGTTACTCCCTTGAAAGCTGAATTATCACACCCAGTGACTTTCCTTTACAGGAGACTGAACAGTAATAAGGTGAGGTGACTCAGACAAGAAAACAGTAATTCGTGCTCCTTTATGTCAGGAGGGTAAGGCAGGCTTTCCAAAAGCCTAGAGAAGAATGACACATGCAAACTTTTCTGTACTCATTTCTGTTACACTGCTTGCTAACTGAAGCAGCATAGCTCTAAGCATGATAAATTCTAACTTTGCAGAAGTCATTGAAGGACCGTATCTTGCTGAATGCTTGCCAGAAGTTACCCTCACTCTGCTGCTGCTTCAAATATTCTCAAAGCTGTGTGGTTGTGTACAGGTTTACGTAGTTTTCACCGTCAGTCGTTGATGGTAACTGGTCACACGGTGGAAAGTGTGTGGCCAAGCTTTGGAAGAAGCTTATTTTATAACAGCGAAGCTGCTCCTTCCGCTGCCTCGTGCGATTGCTATATATTGTAATCGGTACTACATTAAATAAACTGTTGAATTTTGTCCTTCTGTCACTAATAAAACTCTCTTAATTCTAGATTTGGATATCAAGACATCAGGAGCTGGCTGCGTGAAGATTCAGAAAATAGAGTGTGATAACTGCAAAATAGAAACTGAGAAGGGGACTAGTGTCTTACAGTCAATAAAGGTACAAACAGCCCTTCCTCATTCCAACGCTGTTTTAAAAGTAGGATGGAATACAGTATAAAAAAGAGTTCTGGAGATGAGAAATACTCTAGCAGTTTGAAGTGTTTCTGTGTGTTCAGCGCCTCACCTTTATTTATTTTATAAAATTATGACACAAGTTAGTAATCATAAATAGCTTGGGGTCAAAAGTCCAGGAACTGTTGACAATAGCTGAAGCAAGTCAGCAGAAATTAGAAACTGGCAGCTTGCCAGTTGACCTTAATGTTAGATTCGACTTACTCAGTTGCTCAGTGAGACTAGGCCCACTCAGTCAAGACTGTAAGGTGCTTAGCAGTATGCGTTTTATTTTTTCAGACTTACTTTCTTTTAATCTATCAGTATCTTTCTTTCTTTTAATATATCAGTAATACTAACGAACTCTTTCTGGATTAGTTTTCAGTCAAGTTATGCATATCTGAAATATCTGTAAAACATTTCTGATAAATATTAGCTGTGACATGGTTATGATCTTATTTCTTCAGTCTTAAGACTTCAGGTTTCCTGACGTAGGCTTTTGTGGAAATAATCAAAATATATCTGGCTTGGGTGCTGGTTTGAATCAATTTCACTTGAATAATTGGAATTGCACCTGCAGGAATTACTGTAAAATTGAAAGGAAAGGTCTTTTTTTCAGATACAGAATTTTTCCCTTTACCATAGTAAAGGAGAGATGATTTTACAGCTCACGTTTGGAAAACTGAATTTAAGAGGGTACTTAATATACAGTAGAAGTGGCTTTACTCCATAACATAATAGTGGTAGAATGAATCACAGGCTATCTATATGTTCCAGATTCTGTGTAAATTGACCATATTATTCTTAAAGGTAACTAAAATCCAACAGAAAGGTAACAGTACTATATGTTACTGCTGTTTTAAAGCTTTGGTTAAAGATGAGGACTCTATTGTATAAGGTGTGGTAATAATAATAGCAAACACAAACTGCATAATATGAGGAAACAAAGCAGTGTTGACTGGCAGTATCGACAGTAATCAGTGTGCCATAACAAATGTCAAGAATTTTTGTAATCTCGTGGAAGAAGAGAGGGTTCTGAGAGAAGATAAGTAATTAATTTTGTAGGGATCTTTTCTCAGACTCGATTTAAAAGACCTGAAGAATGTTGAACTTTAAAAATCAAAAGTTTGTAGTTCTACTTTCCTTGACAAAAGCTTAGTGTTGCTTTTTTCTTTATCAAACCTCTCTTGATTCATAAAAAAATGTCAGGGAAAGCTGCTACTGTAAGGAATGATCCTTCCCCTTTCACACAGGGGACACATTGAGGTACATGCAGTGGTGACGTGGGAAGCCATAAGCCCTAGATGAGAGGATCATCCTTGTTTCAGAAGGCTGGATAGAAAGCCTTTTACAATGTGAAGAATCAAGAAAGAACTGCCAGTTTGAATTGAAACACTTTTTTTTAAATGAAGCTGGAGTAGATTATAAGGCTTTGCAGGTACAGAACTGTATAAATTTGTACAGTTACAGCATCTCATTTAGCTGTACCATCAGTTTTTAGTCTAATGTAGTTTTTAGGAAGTATTGTTTCTAATAAGGTAGCTATAACTCAGTTTTCTAATAATGATTCAGGACGTATGTTCTGTGTTGGTGGTGGGAGGCAGGATTATTAATGTCTTTCCTCTCCCCTACCCCCAAGCTATTTAAAGTGCTTCAGACCAGAAGTCACAGCCCTCCAAGATCTTAGATTCTGCAGTGCAGCACAAGTGCTGATCCTTCTTCAGGGGTAGTGTGTCATTGAGCAAACTGAAGAGATGTTGCCCTCTTCTGGGTGGGTTAAAGAGCTATTTGATGCTGCTTCGCTGTCACACTGTTCACAAACCTCATTGACCAGTAGAATATAAGCATCTTTTTTTTACAGCAGAGAGTGAAAGATTATTGACCCGTGACTTCAAAAACAAGCAACGGCAGCAAACCCCAATCTCATCCCAACAAAATCTCATCACGTGTGGGCTAATCAAGAGTACTAGGGAACTGTTTCTGCTAATTCTCTAAACCTGCCACAGACTGGAATAGATTGTTTGTACAAGTTTTAATTAGAAAAACCTGTTAATTTTTTGGTATGATGCTTGGTGTCTTTAGAGAACCTAGAAGTTTGTTTGACGTCTGTCTTCCTTATTCATGCATGATAGCACTTGAACAGAAAAGTTTAGACTTCTGTTAAGATTTTTTTAATGTTTTTTTTTACTGGTATTTTTGGTGTGCTAGGCATTATACAGCCAGTGAGATTTGTGGAGAGGTGAGTTGTCTTGTTTTGTTCCCCTGCCCCTTCCCTAGTTGGCTGAAGTTCAGCGCACCCTACCCCTTTGGAGTCTCTAGGTCAATTGACAGTAGCGGTAATTCCACAGCACAGTTCTGAGTTTTAGGTCATCTTTAGTATGGCAGTGCTGTCTCTTTCTTCTTAGTTCTGTTTCTCCTGGTTCTTATTACAGTCTCTCAGCTTAGCAGTGACAGTGGGACCAAGGAAACCCTTTAATTTTGTTCGTCACTATGTCCAGTGATTACTTCTGACTCCTGATTCTGCTCGTGGTAACTAGAGTTGCCAGGTGTCTCGCAGGCAAGCATTGGAAGACCTGCGATGTTTCCTCACCACAGGCCATGTCCGAATCTGCTTTATCAACGATCTGTGTCCCAGCCCTTTCTCTTCTGAACCGAAAGACTTTTTCGGTCTTAATATCTGTCACAGCCTTCATAGCCTCTTCCCTCTCCTCACTCAAACCACACTCTCACTTGCTAGGAGAAGCCCTATGACAAATCAGTGGGTTTTTTTTTTTTTTTCTCCTTCAACTCGTGGAATTATCTCACTAACCGAGAAAGCTACTTGACCATTGCAGCTTGCTTCATGTCCCAGCAAATCTGGCTTTCAGCAAGGTGTCTGCATTGAGAGCCACCTCTGAAAGCCTGTTTTTGAGAGCATGGGAGTGTTGTAGAAAAAATTTGGGGAAAACGTTGAGGGACCTGTGTGTTCTCATAGGGATTTTTCTATCCTAAATATGATAGAGTAAGAGCGAAAAAGATTTGAGAAAATGAAATGTATAATAAGTGGGTTTGTTTTTAATTAACTATCAAAGGCCAAACTGGTTAAGCCATTGTTATATTAATTCTTTTGATGTCATAACATGAGTTTCCGTATTTTCTTCAAATTATATGCTTGAGGGATTTGCTCTTTAACCATGAGGGTGGCGTCGCAAACATGTAACTGTCTGAAGGGAGCCATGCATATCTAGCTGAACCTTTGAGTTTATCCTCCAAAAGACTTATGTATTACCCCATCTACTGTATTTAGAGAGGTTCATCTTCTGTGTTTAGATAGAAGCTTACTTGAACAGCCAAGTGATTTGCAACCTTTAAAAAATACGAAACACTGCAGTAGTCTCAAGCTTGGGGTGTTTCATTTTATTCTGGAGAAGCCTCACATGAAGAAGAGAAAGCAAAGCTTGGTACGCAAAGATTAGGCCACACTGATCCGGAATTTCTCCTGTCTTATGAAGCCATACAAAACTTCCAGTTCTTGATGTTTATCAGAAATACATATGAGTAGTATGAATACGTATTTTCCATGTTGGAAACTTGGTTTCACAATTTAAAGATTTTGTTTGTTTGGGTTTTGTGTTTTGTTTTGTCTTAGTCTTGTTGCCATCTGATAAGAACCAGCTAATGCAATTTACTGTGACTTACCCAGGTAGGTATTTAATCATTAAATATCTTGAAAATTTCAGATGTGCTTGTCAACTGTAAAGATGGTGTCCTAAATTAAATACCATCTGCAGGAATTAATGCCCTTTTCAGTAGACACAAGAAGCTTTGCTATTGAGATCCATAAACCTCTTAATCACATTTGTTGCAGAAGTTACAGTTTATGAATGTATAGTTAGATTATTCAAATTTGATTTCTCCCTTTCTCCTCTTCCCCCTGCGCTGTGATTGGTTTTCAGTCTCAAGATCTAATTTTTATCTCTTTGGAAACTGGTTTCTCTGAAGTAGTTTTATAATTTCTGGTATCTTTCTTGCTTGTTTATAATTGTCACCTTTCCCCTTTCTTGTGTATCTCTTCAACTTGTTTTTCTGGTTGGCTTTATGCAGCAGCCAAAAGGTAAAGGGGTCATAGCGTTTTGATTGAAAAATTGGTTCCTTTGAAAAATTTGAGATAGCAATGCGGATGCTGTATGTAAAGTCTCTACTTTGAATGACAGTCTGGTGTGAGCCAAACACTAGAGCCTAGTTCGACATAATCGCATGAAGGCCTAAGATTTGCACTGGGACATATCCCTTGAAATATATGGTTATATAAATGACTCCAAATGTAAGTTGGGCCGAGTAATGTGTGTATATATATAATCCTGAGTTGTGTGGCACTGTACCTATACTGGTTCCAGTTTGCAAGTTAGTTTCTTACTCTTAGCTTATGTCTTTAATCTACACTGCAGTGTTGGGTGTACACCTACGTTTGTTTCTAGTATAAATAAAATCCAAAGATCCGTCTTTCTCCATACTGCTTATTTCAGTGTATACTGCATGACTGTTTTGCTCAAAGAATTGTATTGATAGTAAAGGGATCCTCAGCATTATTTTTTCTTGTCTGTCTTGTCACAAAGACAGGTGATTTTGGGGGGCTTGACTCAGTTGGAAATAACTGGCACTTTCCACAGTCACTTCAGAAGAAACCTAAGTGGTGAAATAGAAGTTTGCGGACAAAGATAATTATTGTGGTACAGCTTGAAAACAAGGCAATTGTTTTCCAGTTCTACTCATCCTAACTGTATGAATTTTAAATTTTTTTCAGAGTCATAAAATCAATATACGGACAAACGGAGGCAAAGTAATTGGTCTTGGAACGCTCTGTGGAAATACAGATATTCATGCTACAGAGAAGGGTGTAAGTAAGAAGTGAAACTGTTCTCCAGTGGATATCACTAGTTCAGCTGGTGTGTTGCAAAATAACAACCATCCTTCGGATCATACATGTTCTTCAAAATTTAATAATCATTGTTGCTTAATTGTCATTTAATTGTTAACTTAACTTTATCTGTGTTTACACTATCTTATCTTATACTTGGTTTGGAGTCGTAAACAGGCTCCACAAAAAAAGTAATGAAAAGCATGTGAGCATTTCATCAGCGCAGAGCTTGTAGGATATAACTTAAGCCTTTATTTGTTCTTTAATAAAAAATGTAATATTCCTACAAGAAGTTTGTGTTCTTGTGCAAAATTATATAAATCAGTTTTACATGCTAATGCATCTTATTACGTAAAAAGAAAACTTACAGCAGATTAGTTAATACAATGTTAGAAGTACATACAATTCACTGGCCTTAGTTAGGTAGACCCTCAAAACAGACTTAAATTTACTTTGCTGATATTTATGTACTTGAACTCTGCAATAGGCACCTGAGCGTTAGTGTCTCCTGAGTAGTGGCTGGATGCTCGCATGTGTGTTACACTGCCAGCATTATATGGTCATCAAAGCTGAAGAGTGGAAGGTTTTATGTCTTCGCAGCTGAGGAAATTCAGGCTCATGTAATCCTGTTAGGAGAGATTCAGAGAGAAGTACCTTGAACAGAAGAACAATCCAAGGAGGCAGTAGCATGTTTTTTTCAGCAGATGGCAGTGTGAGACAAACATCATACTGTGCTGATTCTGCCCTCCTTCCCCCCGCCCATGGTAAGAAAGCAAACCGTAGTCGATTCTCCTCTGTTCTTTGGAGCAGTGTAGAACTAGGCCCTACGTAATACTCTAGCTTTCAGACTCAGTCTGGTTCTTGGGTTCAGTTTGAATGGTGAGGTATCATAATGAGAAGGCTTACTAGATCAGAAACATTGCTTTATGAATACGTAGAGCGAAGTCAGGTCTGGAAGTAGTTTGTATGCATGCAGCACTCCGTCAGAATCGATAAATGCCCAGCACTGGGAAGAATCAGGAAAAACGTACGGGTAGCTCTCCCTCACTGAGGAAAGAGTTAAGCCCCAGCTATAAGTCCAGGAGTCCAAACTCACCTATATAAAGTACCATTTGGTGCTATTGTGCAGTTTATAAGTTGGATTCTGACATCGCATACCACTTCATGCTGTAAACCAAGTAATCTGCCATTAGATTGGTGAAAAATATCAACATTAAATTACCTGCATTTCTTTGTATTGGATGCTAGCGATCCTTTTTATGTACAAAGGAGCCCTGAGGCTGCTGTAGCTGAGCTGTGTGTGTGTATACATATGTACACACACACATATGCATACACAGTATGTTTCTTTAAATGAACATTTTTTTCATCCTAGCATGACTTTCCAGCATAAAGCAGTGATTAAAGTCTGATTGTGGCATGCCACGTTGCTGCCGCAGTTCTGACTGATCAGCGGTGCCTTTGGGACTATTACTAGTTCATGGAGTTAGGATTGGTCCTAAGCCACTAGCGGCCACAAGGAATGGAAGAAGGCAGAGGTGGTTTACAGCCGCCTTTACATATTCACAAATATGGAACAGATGGCTCATTGTTGAAATTCACATTAATAAGCTTTGCTGTATAGTTAGAAAGGAGAGTGTGAGATTTCTTTTCTCAGTTGACCACTTCTGCTAGTAATCAGTCTGCCTTACATCTCCCTTGTGTGATTGTATGAGATGGTTCTTCCATCAGCAGTAGTCATCACTATGTAGTTATGGCTCTGTCAGCGTTTGTTATAAACCAGCGTTGTCAGGAATTCTTCAGTCCCCTCCTGGACAGGGGGAGGATGTGGTGGAAGACGCTAAACACTTCAGAAACAGGGAGGATTTTTTAAGGGGGAAGAATGGTGCATATACTCATCAAATATTTGAGCAAGGCTAGTACAAAAAACGAAGCTAAGAAGTATGTGAGGAAGGAGTTGATTTACTTAAACGCAGCAAGACATTAGTTTTCATCTTGAAAATGTGTTCAGGTGCAAAAAACAATTCAGTCTGATTTATGATGATAGATTTTTTTTTTTTCTTCTCCCTTTTATAAAGGGTAAGGAAAAACTGAGAGAACCTGATCATGTGGTCAGTGTCAGTAACTGCAACTCCGAAGACTCTACCCTCAAGGGAGGGAATTTTCCCAGAAAACCTTTTGGATGAAGGGACAAAATAATCCAGTTTGTTTAACCGGGGAGTCAGCTAGTTTATGCCACGGGGACTTTTGTATAGCGCTTATTTAACTGAGCCAAACACTTGCATTCTGCCAGAAATTCCTGAAAGCTAAAGAATTTGGAATTGAAAATATATTTAGTCTCAGTGAAAAGTCGCCCTATCTAGAGTACTTCTTAGTCCTGGACTTGAGCAGTCTGATTTTCATCCCTCCCCCATCACAGATTTTTAGTTCCTCTGAAACAACTGTTTCTTGTATTGGTAGGGCATTTTGTTTGATACTAATTAGCTGCCTTGGTACTTAGTTGTTATTATGTATTACAATGACTTGCTTATTGCTGCACACTTACAAGAAATGTAGTTGATGTTGGTAAGCAAAGTGAATTGGCAAGTGAGTGGGGTTTCTGTTGGTTTTTTGTTTCTAATAAGGTAGCTCATAGTGGAGAAACAAGATAAATATCTGAACAGGATCAGAACTTGCACGCTGTGGTAACAAAGGAAGCTTTTTGGGCTTTCCTTTCCTTGTTGAGGAAAGCACCTAGGCAGGCAGTCTGCGCTTAGATGATGTAGACATTTCCTGTTTGTGTTTTTCCTGAAGTGTGGCTGCTTTTGTTCTCATTCTCTTGGTAGCAATGATGGCACTGCGAAAATTGTCAAGGTACTTTGCAGGATGAGTAACTCTTTTGAATAGGTTTAGATAGTAGAGCTTAAAATGACGCTGGCATTTCTTTATTTGTGGCCTTGGCTCTGTACCACGGAAGTTTTGCTCTTTGCCATCCCTTATGCCAGCGGCTGAGGGAGCTGCAGGGAGCTCCGCCAGAAGCATTCCGAGGGCGGACACAATTTGAACTTATATTTGGTAAGCTGTCTGCTTTGTCTAATTAGAAGCATCAAAAAACTGAAAGGTTGAGTTGCTGTCGCTTCCAGTATAGTCAGGTGCCATAGCTTCAAATTATGCCTCCTTCATATCATTATTTTTGTTTATTATTGATCCTTAGATTCTGGAGCATAGTTCCAGGCCGCAGCATCTATAAAGATTGTAGAATTACAGATATGTGTAACACAGCACTCTGATCACCTGAGTGATCAGTCTGATCTTAGAAGTTAGTAATACATCATGTAAGAAGTCTTAAAGCAATAGCCCATGATGCAATCTTATAACTTAAGGTATAAAGGCAGCATAAAGCTTAGTATATGGATTGGTAAGATCACAGCATGCTTTGGCTTTAGCATAGTCAGTACTAAGTCAATCTATTTAGCTCACATTTTAGGACACAATATTGCATGAATTCTGTGCGATATTAGTTGCTGTATTTGTCAGCATAGCTCTTACTTCAGCCATAGCATACCCTTTATATCAGGACTTTGGAGCGTTCTGGGGAAGCTGCCTCACAGCTCTCTTCTGCTGTGCTTATGTGGTGATGATTTCACCATTTTTTTTCTCAGTCAAGGTTTTTGAGCTTATTTATGCCATTTAGTCCCTCTGACATGAAAGGGATGAGACTCTAGCTGGCAATCTTGCATGGCAGAGGTGAAGGATGAGAACCACCTTTTTAGACTGGCATTTTTACTTTCAGAAAGCCTTGTACATTTTAGTTCTTTGCGTCATATTTTCAGTGGTTACAGAGAAAGGTAACACTGGAAAGGGCAACAGATATTTTTTTTATTACTTTTTTTCACAGGATGACAATGTTAAAATGACAAATTGGATCTCAAGATAATTTAACGTGAGGTGCTGTTTGAACTGGAAGGCGATAAATCATTATATGGCGAATAATGATTTTGCACAGATTCACCTAAAGTCAGTGTGAGCAAATCAAAAATCTGTTAAATGAGACTTAAGTATGAGCTATTGCATGACTCCATCATAAATCAATTTTAACATGGGAAGAACAGTATTAAATTCTTATGGTAGCTACACGAGAACGTGATTTGTTTTGTTATTATAGGCTCAGGTTAGTCGCAAGACTGGTTACTTGTACATAGATCGTGTTCTCATATCTACCACCTTTTTACTCCTCAAGTGCATCAACAGTGCAACTTTCCAAATCTCTTTCTTTCTTTTAATTTTTATTGGAGGGGGAAAAAAAAGAAATGGACATAATCCCTGTCATTTTCCAAGGCTTTGTATAGCTTGGGTTTTAGTCCAAAACTGGAGCCCTGATTAACCAAGGTAAGACAAACAATTATGCTGAGAGAAAGAGCAGCTGTGGTTTATTTTTTATTTTTTTAGTTGTAAGCCTTTGCCAAAGCTATGTTCACAAAGTGAGCCAGTTAAGTCTGCATAAATAGCTACAGAGAACAAGAAAGGCTGTGGTTTTTTTGGTGTTGGTCACAGTAAAGTGATCACCAAAGCAGTTAAGTGTCATAATCACATGTGAACATTAAGTCCTAGTTATTAAGACCACAAACTTTTTTTTTAACTTTTCAAAAACGAAGTGTTCTGATTGTTTTAAAAATAGTCACGATATTCTTTCACTGTTTCACTGTTTCTGAGTGTTTGATTTTTTTCACCTCTATGATGGAGGTAGTAATTCATGGGAATGTTTTAAAGATTTACTAACTTGTTGGTTAGAGCTGGGTAAAGATGTTAAGCGTTTTGGTTTTTTTTGTCTTGTGCAGTTTTTAACTGAGAACTCAATTCTATTTGTTTCACGCTAAAGCCTGCTCTCCATTTGTTCTATCTTTAGTAATGTTACTTCTTTATGCCTTTTCAAATGGGATGACAAGTTTTCCATTATGTTTATTTAAGCTTATTTCTCCTAGAGTGTGAGTATAGAGAAGCTACAGGGGACTTCCATCAACATATCCACTGAAGATGGGCTGCTGAAGACTAAGTATCTCTACACAGAATCTTCGTCTCTGTCTTCAGTAGCTGGTGATGTTCTACTGGGAAGTGTCCATGGTAAGATGGAAAAGGAAATATTGTCAGAAATTTAGTCATTGTGAAGGTATCTGTGACGTTCATAATAACGAAAGGACTAATGTTATAGTGTATCACCAAATCAACTGTGGGTATGTGAGCAAAATAAGTCAATGTTGGTGAGAGGCTGAATCGATGAGGATTAGCTTACCATATAGCGTGCATAGCATAGTATTTATTTTTAGAACAATTTCATAAGTGCACTTCTTGTGGAATAGGGAAAGGCTTATGTTATAGAGGAAAAAATATATCACGCACGCTCAGGATGTGTATTAAAATGTTGTAAAATTAAACACTGAAAACTGTATTTAAAAAAAGAGGAGGAGGGGAAAGGGGAGCAAAAATGCTTCTTCTGTCCCCTTGCTTTTTCTTCATTAGCAAAATTATCACATCCAGCTCCTTTTAAGGCTTCTGGTAGAATTTGGTTATATCTGGAAGTTTTTGTTAGAAGTGGTCTGTGTATATGCCGGCACCCTATAGTAATAGAATGATGACAGTTTCTGTTCTTCATGATGAAAGACATATTCTTTAATCCTTCTACTGTTCTTCATCAAGAGCTAAAACTAACTTGGGCGTCTTTTGTGTAAATAGTAGTCAGGACTGGAACCTAGTGCGTAGCTGTAATTTAACAAAATTGCCACTGAACTATGTCTATGCTATAATGTGTTTGGCGATTTTCCATTAAGTAAAACAAACTCTAGGATGTATGAAGAGTGGGCGTGAGGTTGGTATGAGTTCCAGGCTTCTAGCTCTGCGCACTGAAAACAATTTGCTGCAATTTCATGTTTTTAATCTTGCTTTAGAAAAGAATCTCCTTCTTTAAAGGAGCAGCTCCGTTGTGGATGTATAGTAAGCTGGAAACTGGTTTCTACGCTTGCTAGTTACAGTTCATTTCAGCATATGTAGGCAAACTGAAGTTGTTGTTTGTTTTTCTACCATGTAGACTGTATTACTACCAGTATTTTAGCTGATAAGCCGGCTTTTCTAACATCCAACGGATATAATCGTATTGCAGAACGACCAGTTTGTGAGTGTGTTCATGCCTCTGTAGGCATCCAAAAGTTTATTTTTGTTATCTCAGTACAAAAATGAAATAACAACAGCTGTAGGTAGTTACTTACCTCTTAGTAATTCCTCATTATAATTTCACTAAAGAACAATGTGAAAACAAATGGAATTGTGTCCAAATTATACAGACATTTTTGACATGACTTCAGGGTTATTTTCATAGCTCTTTATTAAACGGGTCTGGAGCGCCTAACGTTGTTTTAACTGTTTCTCTTAGAAGAATTTGTACAGCAAGATTTACTTTGTATTTCTAGTCTAGAATATTTCCTGCAAAACATCATGCCCCTCGATAATCTTTCAGTAGTAAGACCAAATATTGTTAGACTTTAAAAGTTGTATATTAGTGGAAAACATAGAATGTTACTGTAAGTTAGAAAAACTAAATTGGTCACTCTCACTTGAAGTGTTTGCCTCACGAAGTACTTCAGTTTTATCCTGTTTGGTTTGTAAACACTTGTGGGCCTGATTGCCCAAGAAACGATCTGTCCTAGTTCCCTGTAGCTGAGAGCTAACTCTTTTCCTCTGCTGTCGCTTTAAAAACAAAACAAAACAAAACAAAAACGTATCCTAGTGTAAACAAACTACAGACAAGAGGTTGCCTAAGCCTTCTGGTTTTAAAGATGAGTGCATGTTGCGTGCACTGCCTGTTTAACAGTACTGAAATTGTCTGATGTTCTTGTTACAGAATGGAAATTTCTGTCGTGGTTTCTTACAGAGTATCTGTATCACTGATAGCATGATGATTACAAATAGTATTTGAACGTTTAATTTTGTATTAAAAATTAACTCAATTTAAGATGTCTGCCAGATTTCATTCCTTCAGCCAGTGTGTAAACTGTGTGTTTGTGTTTTACTAGTAATTAAAGAACTTACGCGAGCTTAAGATTTACTTAAGGATATTTTTCTTAAACCTTTCCATTTTTAAAGTAAAATGGAAATGTGTAATTCTTACTCCCACTAAAAGACTATTAATAACCCAAGCTTTTTCAAAATAACAAAGCTTCCATATTGCAAACAATCACACTTTTTAATGGAAAAATGTAACTAACCGGCATCTTCAGTCTAGCAGTCTTATTGGCAATATTCAGAAATGTACTGTTCCCAATTAAATCTCAGATCAGAGAGCATTAAAATACTTGAGGTGCCCTAAGAATTGAGGATCAAGATCTCTATGGAAATATCAGTGAGTACACAGCGCTTTTTTTTTTTTCCCAGTAGTCCAACCCACAAGTGAGGAGAGTAAACAATCCCAGCTGAATTTAGTCAGTTTTTGAATTTAGTCAAGGAGAAATTAAGTAGAGATAAGAGAATACGCATGTAGGCATTCTTAATTCCTCTTTTGCATGCTGCATAGTTTTAGTGTAAATGAGTAATGCATTATTTTGAAGAAACTGGTTTTGAGTCATTTTAATCAGCTTCTGTAGCAGGCATTACAGATAATCAGATGCCGTTGGGCTTTCTAGTTAACACTTGAAAAACAAGACGACAACAGCTCTGAGGCTGAGAAATATGCTATCGTATCTAAGGGCAAAAACATTAGTGAAACTCCTCTCCATGGAGGGGGGGCACGGAGGAGAAATAAACAGGGATTTAAACTGCTCTTCCTTTGCAACAGTGCCAAAGCCTTGGACTGACTTGCTTTTTTTTTTTAAAGCATCGCAGAATAATCTAGGTTGGAAGGGACTTCTGGACATCTAGTCCAACCCCCGGCTTAAAGCAGGGTCAACTAGAGTGGCTTGCTCACGGCCTTGTCTCTCTGAACTATCCCCAAGGACGGAGATTCCACAGGCTTTCTGTTCCAGTCTGGAATTACCCCTATGCTGAAAAAACTTTTCCCTTAGATTGAATCATCATTTCCATTGTGGCAATTTGTAATCACTATCCCTTTTTTGCTGCGTGCCCTCAGTTATGGTCTGGCTTTCTTCCCTATACCCTCCCTCAGGAAGCCAAAGACCACAACAAGATCACCCCTGAGCCCTCTCTTTTTAAGGCAGAACAAATTCAGCTCTTCAGGCCTCCTTTGTGTCGTGTGCTCCTGCCCCCCAGGCATCCTAGTGCCCTGCTCCCACCTCCCTTCAGTGCTTCAGTATCTTTGACTGGGGAGCCCAGGACTGGACACAGTGTTCCTCATGCAGTCTCACAAGTGCTGGATAGAGGGGAATGATCGCTTCCCTCTGCCTGCTGGCTATACACATGCTAGTGCAGCTCCGTATGCACTTGACCTTCTTTGCCTACTCATGCTCAAGTTGGTGTCTGTCAGGAGCCCCAGGTCCAGGTCCTCATCTGCTAAGCTGCTTTCCACGTATTCGGCACTCAGCTTTTAGGATTGTTTTGTTTCAGATGCAGGACTTGCTATTTGTCTTTCACCTTTTCTTATGTTGTAGTCAAGTAAAGGCTTCTTCATTATGTGAGAGTTGCATGGGAAAATATAGGTATTGAAGTAACTTTATATATTTTACACACTGATTTTAAGATATAGGAAAGACTGAACACGTAGCTGCCTTATCCCGTCAGTAACCTGAATAAGGCAAAGTAGAAAATATGCAATGTGCAGAGGGAAGTACCTTACGATGCTAGAGCTCAGCACTGCATAGTTCTTTCCCAAAACAATCTGACATACGGAAGTATGTTCCATAAGCTTCAGATAAGTTTCTGACCAGTACTGCTGTATAGAAAGTAGGACTGGGAAAATGAATTTTATTGTAGCTCCTTTCTATGCACTTCTCTAGTCTAATCTGATTCAAATTTAAAATGGAAAGTCAAAGCAGTGAAAAGGTACATGGTTGTTTCTTTGCTTTTCTGCATATCAGAATAGCGCTATCTCTCTGAGAATCATCAAAACGACATAGAAGGCTCTGAAATAGTACAGTGTAAAGTGATGCCTTTGTTTATATCCCCAAAGCTGTACCTTGCCCTTGGCCTTAAACTAACCCTGACTTGCAATAGAATAATTTCAAGTTTTACATTGTTTATGGAGAAGTAAAGCTTATAGGTGATAGGAAAGACTATACTTCTACACTACTGAATTCAGTTGCAAAGGATAGTCAAACTAGTAATTTCTAGTCAGATCTTTCTCTCTTGCCCCAATGTATCCAAAAAAGAATTGATTAGCTTAAAACTGTAAGTTAAGTGTTGATGGCACAATTACATGACCAAAAGTATGTTTTTATGCATAGGCTGTAGACACCGCAGGTCACAGTACAGCAGGAAATTCCTGTCTGCTTTAAAGCAGCTTCTCTTCTAGCTAAATATTTGGGCCGTGCCTATCACCATAATACGTGTGAGCATTCTTAGTCATATCTGCCATGTAAGTTTAAGATTAACAGGAGTTTGGTCTCTAAGTGTTTAATGTTCTTCAGGGATCTGTTTAACAAAACAGAAAACAAAAAATGAGAAAAATGAAGAACAGACCAGCGGGGCTGTATTCAGACCCTGTGTACTGTAACTTCAGCTCCATGGCAGTTGCTAGTTTGCAAAACTCTAGGATTTTTGGTTGTTGTTGGTTTTACAGCAATAAGTACTAGTAATGGAAAGGGAAGGAGGGAAGACGGGTAAGCACAGAGCGCACATACCTTTGCGTGGGGAGAGGGAAGGGAAAAGAGTAAAGCCAAACCTCTTTCAAGTCTGTTGAAAATTGCTTTTGTTTCAACTCTGGTATGGAGAACCACTAAATATTTTGTACAGGATGTGCTTGGAACGATAAGTATAAGACTATTGACAGCAGGCTGCTTTTCTAGCTTCCAGTCCCTGGACTGCTAAGACGGACGCTGCAGGTCATACTGACGGAGTGCACTCCACCCTGATGTCTGTTTACTGCTACTGTGTAATTGCAGAAGATGTTGGGAGCAGAGCTTGATCCACTCGCAAATTTTAAAGGCCTCTTCTGAAGGATGTGAACATTTTTATAAATACCATGTATTGTTAAATTAAAATTGGGCAAAATTACTGTGATCAGCCTTGTTTTTTGGTATTTTATTCTCCTGCAAAAATGAAGGAGTGACAGGAATGAACTGGTGTGGTTTAGTTTTTTCATTTAAAGCATTTTGTTGATGTAATTATACATGTCCTATGTGTCTATATATATGGAACTATCAATGTTCTACCAACTTTTTTGGACTGTTGACAGCATAGATGGCTTTTTTGCTTTGAGATGCATCTCATATCCTTTCAGTTTCTCGTGATGCCATAGGTAAAGCAGAAGAGTACTCATTTTGTGAGATTTAAGGATAAAATACTATGCTTTACTCTGAACAGGCACTGGCAAGTTCAGCAAGAGACCATTCTACATTTTGTGCTTTGTACTCTCTTTTGTTTGATGTTCTTCAGTCTGCCCAGCACACTCGCATCCTGATGAAGTCAGGGAGGGAGGGAGTAACCAGTTTTTGGGGATTCTTTAGGCAGTTGGCCAGGAAGCAGCCCTTCAGGCTAAAGCAGAAAATCCCCATCCTGAGTCTGGAGGGCAGACTTTTTCCAAACCCTCCAGGCTCGCATAAACACATGTGTGTGTCTGGACACATAGACACTGTCTGTCTGTCTCTAAGATGGATACTGTTTTGTTTAGCTGTCTAACTCCTTTGTTACTCATCCTATTAATCTACTTCAGTCAACCATAGTGCTGTTGCAGTCATCTGAACAATTGAAGAAAAAAAAAATTGACCCAAAATAAAATAATGGTCTATAGCCTCAGAATGCCTCTCTGCTTTTCTGTCTCCCATACCCAGCCTGTGCCTTCAAGCTTTAGTCAGTGTTTTTCTTGTCTGGAATCATTTCATTGTTATACTTATCCACCTATATTGATTTTTGTTTGTTTGTAAAGCAACAGTATTTAAGTAGTATAATTTGTGTATGCTATTTTGCTTTTATAAGCAAATCAAATGTGCTGCTACAACCATAGTACTATGGTGTATATGGGATCACACTCCTTTAATCTTTAGGATTTGAGAAAACTTTTTTTTTACTTTTAACATTAAAATGCCTCTTTTTTTTTCTTTTTCTTTCTCTAATAGGTAACACCACCCTGCAGACCAAAACAGGGAGTATCACAGTAGGTAGGTTCTGCCTTATCTCTAAGATAATACTCTTCTTTCCCACTCTTCACTTCTCCTTTCTAAAAGTTAACTATTTGCCAGGAAGGAAAAAGGAGATGATTCCCCACAAGGGAAGGAGCACTTTCTAGCCCGTGATACCACAATACCCAGTGGGCTTTGTGCGTTAGACTGAGCCTAGATATCCTCGCATAGATTGAGAGAAGGACATAAAGACACGAGAAAAAAATTAAGCGTACCTCAAATGTAATCATTTTGCCTCTTAACCTTCTTCTGTTTCTTTATATTTGTTATTTGCAAAGAATAGCTTTGTTTTAATTTTGTATCATATGGCATCACGTAATCATTAGTGAACTACATAATGTGTTTAAAAAAGAAAAAATTCAGCTTCTGGGCAACTTATAAAACAGTATTTCTAAAATACTACTTTGGCCATTGTGTTTTTCATAATGAAATAACGGTAGCTCTTAAATTTTTTTTTCAGTAAATTGAGCTTTTATACAGTGGGATAACACTGAATTATTTCTATGACTTTGTATTAACTGGTACATTTTGTTAGGAAAATACTAGGGCCCCTTCTCAATTTTTTTTTTTACAGTATATTGACACAGAAGTGCAACACTCTGGAATTGTAGTTGTTTCTCTGACAGAGAATTAACAAACTTTAGACAAGATTCAGTGTCTCTTTAATGAAATCCTGAAGGATTTCCTCTTCTGTAAATAAACATGGTTACAGACCCAAAGCTCAAAGACTTTTGCTAATGATAATTTTCTCGGTATTAAGCATCTTGCAGGAATGAGCTGTACTATTGTAACTTTTTTTTTATGCTTTTAAACAGTCTATATTAACATCCCTGGAAAATGAATGCAGTACACATTCTTATGAGTTAGTCATTAAACCACAGACTTAAATCAGGCTTGTTACTCTGTTTTTCCTTCTGTTAAATAAACTCATAGAAAATGAGGATTATTAAATAATGGATTCTTAGCACAGGGTATGTTATTTCCACCAACACATGATGATTATTTTCCTTGTTTAAACTGAGCTTGGTTAATTATTAGGAAGTATCTGATGGTTGAACTGCTTTATTTTCCAGATTTCAATTCTGAGATCATTAGTTATACTTAACCTTTTCTTAGAGAGTGTAAAACCCCATATAGTTTTTTTTAAGGATTTTTATCAAAGTCAAAATGCCTTTTAAGGACCACTGGATCGACTCTTAACAACTTGAGATAAAAAAAAATATATATATTATTATTTCTTTAACGGTTTAGAAGTGGAAGCCTTCATGTATGAAGAATGTAGATCACAGTGTAGCTTGCTGGATTGCCAGATATTGACAGAAATTTGGTGACAAAAATAGAAAGAGGCAGATCTGACTTTCTGGGCTGGATTTTCGTAGGCATGCAGGTACTTGTTTCACAGCAGGCTGAATGTCAGCATCCAACTCTTAATAAAGCTATTAACAAATTCGCTTTCTTCACTGCTTGAGCCTTTCAACAGCCGTAGGTTTTCTGAATTTCTACTGCTGCCTGGGCTGCAAAGGTGTTGCTGTCTTGACTAATCTGAGGTTTGGATGCTTATGCCCATCTGCAAGACAGATCAATTATTCCTTCAGTGAAGATCCTGAAGAATATGGTGTGTATTTCCAAAACAGGTCTAAAAACTTGAGGGCAACGCTGAGTTCATGTACAGCAACGCATGTAGATGAGTTCATGTTGCAGATATCCTATGCAAAGCCAAGAGGGTAAAAATTTTGTGGCAGGAGACAGTGTTGCTGGGACCTTGCTGGGTTGAGAGAGTTCAGTTCTAGAGCTTCTACCTCTCAAAGCAGAAAATAGAAAAGCTATTCTTCATTTCCACCCCGTTGAGGTTGTAATTTTATATAGATAGTAATGCATTTTATCCGTTAACTGGAAAATGTACTCCTCTCTGGACTTTGGGGATGTATCTTTAGCTTTTGAGAGGTTTATTTACAAGTCTAACTCGTAGTTGAGGTGCTGGGTGTTTTTCAGAGTATTAGCCTGGGAAAAAACAAGCAATTGTATAGATTGACAGTTCTATATTCCTTGTGTAATTCTGCATTAACATTGGAAACTGGTGCTGTTGTCTTTCACTCTTTTCTTTTTCTGTGTATTTTCATTTTGTTATACTTAGCAAGGTCTGTTTTATCTGATTTGTGTCTGAATATTTTGTATTATTTGTGTGTTAAATGTATTTTTATTTTTTTGAACACCCTGTCCAAAACTCTGCAATTTGAGGTTTCTAGCACTTGGTAGTGTTTGACATTGACATTGTTAAAATATGGAAGTAATGATTATGCTTTTTTTCTACACGGTGTACTTTGTAAGATGCTGACAAATTGTTTTCCAACCCTATACTAGAAATTTTCTACTTGGAACAAATGCTATACAGCTTTTAAATGAGTTTTTCATTTAAAAGAACTAGACCTCTTTTTATTTCTAGTTTGTTTGTAGTTAATATGGTCACTAAAAATCTTAACAGTCTTACAAAGAGTGATGGAATAGTGTGTTTTTAGTGCTAATCTCATCTTTTAAATTTTAATTTTGTGCAATCATAGGAAAACTCGGGTTGGAAGGGACCTCAGGAAGTCTCTAGTCCAACCTCCTGCTCAAAGCAGTGTCAGCTGTGAGGTCAGACCAGGTTGCTCAGGGCTTTATCCCATCTGGTCTTAAAAACTTCCGAGGACGGAGACTGCACAGCCTTGCTGGGCAAACTGTTCCACTTCTTGACTGTCTTCAAGGAGAAAAAGATTTTCCTTATATCCAGTCTGAATCTCCTTTGTTTCTGCTTATGTCTTTGTAGTGATCATCTTTTTTATGATCATTTGTAATGATCTCAGTCTCCGTTTGTTTTGTTCTTCTAACCTCTTTCTTCACCAACCCACACAGTGGAAGACCTAAAGGCTTTTGTGACTTGCTGTGACAGATTCAGTGTGTTAAGATAATTGAAAGCTAACAAAAAAGAACAAAGTTTCACCTTTGTCAAAAACCTGTGCAGCAGCTACTTAGATACACAGTTCTTTCACTTGTTCCTGTGCTTTCTTCTGTACCGTGTCCTCAAATACCAAATATATTTGAGTATACTCCTGATGCGAAGGTGAACTGAGGTGTCTGAGCCTGTCCATCACGATGCGAGTGTGGGGTCATCAGGCAATTGCCTAGTACAGAGACAGAAGGCCAGAATTTCCTTTTGAGAAGGGTTAAAACAATATGCAGTGCAGCTTACCTAGAAACTTATGTTGCATCTGTGATTTTTGCCCTGAGCATTCAGCTTTTAATATGTTATCTAGGGAGTTTTTAAATTAAAAACCCCGTTTCTGAGTTCCATTAAGGGCAGTATGGTTCCTCCTTAAAAATACTGCTCTTAGATAGCTATTTTAACACATGAACCGTGCACAAACTTGTCGCATAATAGAAATTACTTCTGTTGATACAGTCTTTGTTATGTGCTTTAGGTGTGTTATATTCCTGCCTTCATTTTAGGGGTCTTTCATCTTCCAACTTCGTAGCTCCGAACTTGGTCTCGCTTTGTGTTTTCCTAATGGCAAATACAATTCTTTCACTTGTTCCTGTGCTTTCTTCTGTACTGTATCCTTTTTTAAGCTACTGAGCTTGTCTGCTTTCTTCTGTACTGTATTTTGTACTAAACATGCCTGCTCTCCAGGCAGGCTAGGGTCAGCTGCCTTTATTTATTTATTTTTATCTCTCATGTATCAGGACATGAAAAAAATTAAAGTTTTAAAAAAAATTAAAAGCGTCCATCATTATGGATATGTTAATAGCTACTGAGTTGCTACTTAGTTTTATCATCGCCATCCTCATTTCCCTGTTCCCCTCCCCACTCTCTATTAAGGGACTTTTTCCCTTTGTTTCATGTTGAATGTAGTTTATGGTGTTCTGGATATTTTATGTCCTGGAGAAAATATTTTTAAAATTGTGAGCATGTGGTAAAAGCAGCTATTGTCTGAGAATGATAGGAACTTTCTTGCAGCTTAAAAATACAAATGTGTTTAACTTCCGTATGCGTTCCATTAGCAAGTAGTTTTAGTGGCTGCTAATGGTTTTACTTTCACGCATTAATATTAGTAGTGTCATGTTATTAGTCTATTTGATGTAAATATTTTAGTTTTTTATACTGCCTTTCATTTGACTGTTTTGGAACAATGGACTAAAAAATTGAACAATCTTTATCAACAAACAATATGAGTTAGCCGGTTAAGTCGGAGTTAAATCTTCCTCATGCTTCGCTTATGATGGAATCGTATATTTTCTGATATCCTTAACCAAATCATAATAAAGATGTTGCCGTTGAAATTAGTGAAAGTTTTTCCATTGATTTTAACATGAGTAAGGTCAGTTATTATATACTATTGGGAAAAGTAAAGATATTTTTGCTCGGGTTAAAGCAAGATCTCTTGTGCTCATTCCTTTCTTTAATGCTTTTTGATTTTTATGAAATGAAGGGAGAGGAGATGCTAAATGTTTAGTGCTGTCAATCAGCTTTCAGTTTTGTCTCTCTGCAGTCTTGTCTCAAGTTGCATGATTTATGAATTATCCTTTAAACTACTAGCGAAAAGGCTAGATGTAGAGAATGGATCATTTTGGGGGGGGAAAAACCTCGTTTGATCCATAAGATTATTTCTAAGCAAGTAGTGGCACGTTGTTTTTAGGCTTCACTGAATTAATGTAAATCTTTTACTGTAATTCAAGGATTTTCCAATGTTTGTGATGCTTTCTAATTTTTTATAATTCAAAGGAAGGGAATTGCCATGATCTTTTAACAGAAAAGAATCTGTCAAAGCTTGTCATTTTTTCTTGGTGTTACTATTCTTCGGACTTTCTAGTGCACCTTTTAAGATTCCTCCATGAAAACTGAATTCTGGGTATTTCTTTGTGTAACCATTAATATAATATCTGCATACTACTTCATGTATCAGTTTGTACAACTCCTTTATTTTGGTTTTCTTAGTTAATTGAGAATTAACATCTTTGTTGGAACACACTGCTCCAATTTGATCTTGGGCATATACAGGTTTGTCCATCTGGGATCGGAATTAAGCTTCGCCCTTGTGAATTAAAAAGGCTAACAAAACTGCTCTCTGTTGTGGAAAAGTTATTCTCCACAAAGCTTAACAAAACATTATCAAGGACTTTTTGCTTCGCTGCATTTTTTGTACTAGCAAATTCTTAAATAGCTGAAGTTGCTCAAGAGTGACCATCTGTTCTGTTTCCTTTAGAACCGTTCATCCTTGTATTTCCCCTTGAGTTGTCAGTCCTTAACAAATTCTGAATGTAAAGGATCTACTTTTTCAAGTTTTTGCCCTCAGTTACTCAGATTAGTCTCAGCTAAAGCTGGGTATGTGTTTCCATATAAAAACAAATAGTCTTACTACTTTTTTTTCCCTGTCATATATTGCCTCTGTTGTTATTTCAGTTATGTATCTTGTCCTATCAGGCTGTGTTATTTGATATAGGATACATTTTCTTGCAGAAATACTTATTTAAATTTTTTGTTATCTAACCTTGTCTTGACTGGTTTTTATTCCATATTCCTGCATTTTTTTTCCATCTCATTTGTTTAAGAGTTAGAGAGGCTCAAAGCAGCATCTTTAATGGACTTTGCAGAAGTGATGGCCAACTTTAAGTCTCTCGGTATTCTTATTCATACCTACGCATTTGTATTTAATTTCATAACTATAAAATTGTTTCCATTAATCATACTCAGTTGTTTCTTTGCAGTGTCTTTTGTGTAGCTTCCATAAATCAAAGCTAAATACGTATTGTGAAGTCTGCTGTAATGTTTGGTTAATGCTGCTGAAGTTCTCACTGTTTTTGAAACTTTCCTATGGTTTTCTTCCACCATAACAAACTTTCTGATCAGAGGTGTATGCTGGGAATCAAAATCTGGCAAGATGTGGCCAGGTAGAAAGCAAGCCATCCTCCCAGAACAGCTTTTGCCAAAGGAACAGCGTTCAGTGTCTGATAACAAGAATTTTCACTTAGCGGTGGCAGAGATGGCTCAAGTGTTTTTGCTTTCCAGGTAAATCTGTGCCCACCGCCTTCTTCCTGCATTCTTTATTCCGCGTACTCCTTCTGCAAACAGAATCCAGCCTCCAGCCTTTTATTTATTCTAAATAAAATTTAAATTTTTTGTAATTGAAAACCTGGAAAAGATAGCCCTGTTCAGTCTGGTGGTACTGCTGCTGCATTTGCAGAAGGCATCTTTCCGTGATGAAGAATCTCCTAAGAGCTGCTTTTGCATTTGAAGACTGGCAGTAAAGGAGGTTTCATTAAATATTCTTTGGTCTCTGTAAAGTACCATCAGCTGATTGTGTTGTACATACTGTTAGCAGTTGTTTTCTCTGGAAAGGGCCACTATCCTATCGAGAGTCTTTTTCCCTCCTAGTGCAGATAAAGGAGCATGTTTTGCTTAAAAAAGAAAAGCAAGAGACGGGATGTTTCCTGTTTCTTTTGCAAGCAAATCTGGCAGTCCTGTGTGGAGGCTAATTGGTTGGCTGTTACTGCGTTTCATGGGGAATATTTGCAAAAAGCTTTTACTTGAAAATGTTGATCACTACCAAAAACTCTCATGAGAAAGGTTAATTGATAAAGATTGTTCCTGCTTCAGTATGAATTTCATTTTGAAACTTGATTGTTATAAACATCCTTGAAACATTTTATTGATAACGTTTTATTGTGAGTTACCCAAGCAAAACCTTTTTTCCAGGTCATTAATTTCAATTAATGAAGACTTCATTTTTTCCCTTCAGGTTTGGAATAGAACTTCTTTAACATAGAATCTGTTGAGATGGGAGAACCGTTCACATCCAGTTCTACTTTTTATCATTGTTTTCTTGTTAGCCAAAAGATGGTATCAGTTTCTCAGCTGACTGAATAGGGATTGGCCACGTTCCTCCTCCTTGTTTTCTACTCCAAAGAAATCAGTTCTAGCTGTGGGGTAATAACCCCTTTTTGTGTTTTTAGTGTTGTATACTCTGACCTTCCACATCTGTGCTTGAGATCTTGGATCAGAAAAGCTCCAGATTAGTTTGTTTAACGCTAAAACTATATGGAAAGCTTTAGGGTATAAATGCTAGACATCCTGGTTATGATTAATCAAGTGCATTCTCCCAAGAATGTTTTCACTTTGTAAAACCGACAAGATTCAATCAGATTGGGTTTTGTTGTTTTAGCTAGCTCTGAAAGTTTGACTATGTTTCTCTATGCAAATCCAGAAACTAAGAAAAAGAATAAAGGAAGATTATAGTAAATTTTTATTTAGAAAGCAAAGGGAGAGACAATCCTTTTACTTTCTCTCTCTCTTTTTTTTTTTTTTTAGATTCCTCAGATGGAAGTCTAAAAGCTTCTACAGAGCATGGGGCCATAGATGTTTATGTCAGTCAATTGAGAAAAGTGGATCTGAAATCCCAGAAAGGTTAGCAAACTGGAACAAATGTTTTTTGTGGCAACCTATGATACAAAAAAAAGGGGGGTGAGGTTTTTTGGTTATGTGTCTGGAAAAAATCAGTTTTTAGTCATTGTTAGTTATCTACATTCTCATTTACCTTGTCATTAGAAAGTCTATACAAATATTTAAAATACAATAAGCTCTGTACAAGCCAACGATATTTAAAATAGATCCACAGACCTTTTTTAATACTTACTTTTGACAGTGAACCCTGCAGAATTGTGGGGAGCTCACTTGGTTTGCAGTCTTTGTCTGCCTTGAGTACGGTTTACTCCATGATGCTGATCCGTGTGCGTGCAGAGTGACAAACGTCACAAGCTTACGTTGCCTTTTCCTGCCTTTTTTCATGGTGAAATGTGGTGTTGTGTATTGAGAGCCTAAACTTAAACAGGAAAGCAGAAAAACAGAGATGAGAAGGTCTTACTCCAGCAGTCTTTCTTATTTCTACTGATTATTCACTGGAACTTCCTTGTTGAAAACTCACCCCTGAGGGTGGATTCATAGTTTTGACGTTCAGAAGATAGTGTTGTAAACACAAAGCCATGATTATGTTTTGTTAGTCCCAGTTTGGCAAAAAACACCCTACAGTGGTTTTTATACTCAACTTGGGCATCATGTCAGACATTTCAGATACTTTAAGTGAGCAAGATATTTGGCAGCCTTCTCTGGTTATATGTGAGATAATGACACCTTGGCAGTTCCCAGGTAAAAAACTAGTAGTGAGCTAGAAGGAGAATAATGAAGGAAATGTATTGAAATCACTTGTGTGCCATTCTTTTGTACGTGCTATTCTTGCTCAGTTGGTGAGAGGAAGTGTATTTTTATATTATTTCATAGTTACCTTTTGAGTCAACGATAACATACATCTCTGAGTAGTAAAGGGGAATGTATTTAATAAACAGTGATTAACGTTATTTTCAAAACATTGCCTGACATCTGTTCTGGCAGTGCAGTTTAGTAAAGGCAAAGTTGATGAAGTTCTGTTTTCATTTACCCTGTAAATTCGGAGTAACTGCTGACAACTGCTGGGTAGAAAATGTCCCATTTGTGATAAATCAGCTGCATATGTGTTGTGTTTTATGAGTCACATCATTGAGCTATTCTCCAAGGAGTACCCAAAGATGGAAACCTTTCCCCTTCCTTATGCTAAAGCTTTTGTGTGTCCAGCAAAATTTGGGCCTCAATTATACTAACAGTTATTTGTCTCTCAGGTCAGTTACAGGCAATTGATTCTGCTGAATTTAAATTTCATAGCTAGGGTTGCGTTCTGACTGCTACATAGATGTTTTAGTGTTGGTTTTCCAGTCATGTTCTGATTGAGTTTATGGGACACACTTAAACTTTTTATGTTTTTCTAAAGTGAATGTTGGAATTGGGCTGAAACTAGGGAGCACATATACAGAAAGTGTGTTCTGAGTTCTGCTCTTTTTTGTTTTCATGTGCAAGACACAGCTTCCAAACATTGTGACTGAGTAATTGCAAATGTGGCTAATGCTAGCAGGTTGGTGGCCCAGCAGTTGCCTTCAATCCGCTGTATAGCGAGTGCATGTTGAGGAGAAGCAGAAGTCCGAATTTCCGTTTTTAATCTCAAAAGTAGAGTTGTACAGAACACCAAAGTTGTGACTTTGTTAGTAGATTAGATTACATTTTGTGGTGATACAGTTTCTAAGCTGGTTAGTCCCTTTGGAGACTGCATCTTCTCAGTCACGTGAGCAGCTCGCCCTGTGCAGTAAAGCAAAGACGGCCGCTAGCACTAGCGGAACGTAAGTGGCGTCGGACTGTTCCAAAGGAGCAATTCTTATTTATACAACATGCCATGCAGTAGCTGGGTGAGTCATTGAGTCCAGTGCCTTTCCCTTACTCAGGAACGTGGGTGTAGGACCGGAAGATGAAGCTGGAGCAGTAGGACTCCTGACCTGTTATATTTTCCTCCTATCTCAAGGTTCCCTGGATCATCCTTGTAATAATGTCCTCTAGTGAGAGCTATTTTTAGCAATATAGCCCAGTGTTACTTTTCACACCCCCTAGGAAATACCGTGGCACCATTTTATACATGTTATGTATAGTATTCTGGTTATGATAAATGGAAACTGGAAAATGAACGTCAGAGACTGAAAGAAAGGTTACTGGGGGGGGGGGTATGCAAGTTAAATAAATTGTTGCCTGTTTCATGCTTTGATCTGGATGTATAACTGTCTCTCATTTAAATTTTTACCAGGTTCTATTACAGTCAAAGTACCTGCTTCTCTCAAAGCTTTCTTACAGTTATCTGGGAGAAAAGTGGATGTGAGCTCAGAGATCCGGTTAGAAGAAACACAGAGTGCCTCCAAAGATGATCACGTAACTATAAGTGGTAAGGCTTACTAATTTTGGCTTTCATTAAACGTCTGTCTGGCATTAGTCAAAGGTACCTACATTTGCTTTTGGTTTTATTGCTCTTGGCCTCTTCCTGTTTCGTCTGTTTTCAGCTTGAGGTGTTTGCTTGTGCCAGTGAACTCCCCATGTTACTAGATGGGTTCTTCATTTTGTTTGGTAAATGACTTGGGAATACAAGCGACTATTTCTTTAACAAAAATCTTAGCCAAATTCATCCTCAGCATGATTGCAGTGACTCCAGGAGAAGTAAACCAGCGTTGAATTTGACCCATTGCTTTTTAATTTGTTTTAAACATTCTTAGAATTTATTGTTGGCTTAGAAAATCTGTCCGTTAAAAATGTACTGAAAAGTTGTCTCTCTGTTCCTGTCAAAAAACAGAACAAAAGGTGTGTATAGCGTGTTTATCAATAAACATTGTAAACTGCAGGATAGGCTGATGAATGGTGGGTGGGAGATGGCCAGGAAAGAACAGAAGGAGCTGGAGTACGGAGGAACAGAGGGTACACAGAAAGGCCCCTTGTAATTACTGAAAATGTTCTTCTACCAATTCTGAAATTGAACCTGGCAATCCCCAAGTCTTGCTATTTCCTGCTTTTTAGAAAAGTTGTACAATTCGTTGTCGGGTGTATATTTCCCTCTTCCTTTCTTGACTGGTGCATCTAGAAGCTCTGTCTGTTGCTGTTAGCAATTACTCTTTTTGCTTGAGAGGCAAGGTTAGTGCAGCGGGGCTGAAGGCCCCAGCTTTCCTCGTGAACGTGTCGTGTCAGTGTGACCTGATATGATAATAGATTGAATGAGGCTTTAGGTTTTTCTTTGTTTTAAAATCTAAGAAAATACATACAAAACTTCTTTACCTTCCCTACATATAAATGATAATCTCAAAGCCCTCAAAGTTAGGAAATGTTGGAAGCATGTCTGCCAAAACATAATAGGGAGCCTGTGTATGTAATACAATAGTCTTGAAATGTATAGGCATATCGCTTCTTGCCTTGAGCAGTTACTAGCACTTGAATTTGCTGATGGTTATTAAATACAGCTTTTTAAAAACCATGCTTAAAACTTGTCAGGCTAGTAACCTGTGGAAGGATCCCGGATACACTGCACGGACTTTGCTTGAATCACTTCAGCAGTAAAACAACACATTTCCCAGTGAATGGAACCTCGGGCCGGTCAATCATTTTGTTACTCTGGCAACATTAAAGATACGAGTAATGTTTCAAATATACACAGCTGAATGGCTTCTCTGGTTTCATGACCCAGTCACTGTTTATGTAGGACAGTCATTGCTGAAGTAGAAGCAATTTTCCAGCCCACCATTCTGCATCCAAATGATTTGGACTGTTTAGGCCAGAAGCAGCTCCGATTAGTTAACCCTCAAATATACATATCTGAAAGCTATAGAAGTCACTGAGAATTACACATAGGCAACAGTCTTTGGCCATGGATTATCAGTTGTTTAAAGAGGTTACAGCATTCATAAAAAAAAAAAAAAAAAAAAAAAAAAAAACCCAACAACAAAAAACCACAAGTAAATATAGATCTAAATTTATCAGGATACAGGTGAATGAAAAATAGACCCTGGAACATATTTTTGGCAAGATAAAGTTGAATTAATCTAATGTTGGCCTGAAGTAATATATCTTCATCCATCTTTATACCAGGCATTTAGCCTAATTGATTACTAGGCTCATATAACGTAACCTGTGATTTATGGCATCTCTCTCCTGCCCTTTTCTTCTTTTCTAGTCAATGAGAAGCTACAAGTCTGAAGGGAGATGAAACAGGTGGCTTTGGGATGTACTTTGTTCCTTTCTTACCTTTTTGAAAACAGTGCCTGCGCTGTCTTGGCCCAAGGCAGTAACGTCTTTGGCACGGCAGGAGAGATGCTTCCCGCTCTCCTTCTCCTTACCTTATCCCATAGAGACACTGTATTCTCCCTACAGGCCAAGCAGTTGTCTCCTCATTCTGGACAATCTCTTCTTAGAATTTATATTTAAGCATTTTCTTGTACAAGTAGATGTAAAATAATTTAAAATCATTGAATACTATTTCTATATTACGAAAACCTTATTTATTGCTGGAGTTTTAGGTACAGAGTGTATAGCTGTGTTTCTGCTGCAGCTAAAGAAATATAAAAGGGGGAGAAGGGAGGGTATTTTGCAAAGTGGAAAAAAGCCCTGTATCATAAGAGGATGCTAACTTAGAATGTTGTGCTTCTGAGGTCAAAGGTTGGTTTAAAAATAGGCGGCTTTTCAGAAGCTGGCCAGTTCCCATGTGGATAAGGCAGGAACTGGCTGCTTTCAGGAAGCTTTACTTGCCCCTGGAAGTATAGTGTGAGGCGTTAGAGTTCCCCAGTGAGAAGACGGGGTAGAATTTTATGATATGGGTAAGTTTGCATCTAGTCTATCTCCAGCTCTAGGAAAGCCTTCCTTACTGCTGTTGTAGCAGTTACAGCTTACGTCATCACCTTGCTTCAAGGCTCCTGCCTCCACGTTGATGGAAGAAGAAAGCGAGCTGTGAACCCACTGACAGTCGTGTCCAGGATTTTGGGAGGTAGCTAAGAAATAGACCTGGATTTAGTCATAGCAAGAAGATGAGGACCCGGAGTGGGCACTTCAGAGGCAGCGTGATGAGTGTGAAAAGGCGTTTTGCTCTTTTTAGGAGAGGGAGGGACATTCCTGCAGAATTGGGACACTTGCCAAAGAGGGGAAGGAACTAGAGAACGCTGCCAGGGTGTGTACTCCTTAGAGTAATTTGCAAGGAGAAGGAATCTGTTTTCACTGACGTCAGTAGACACTTTTGAAAGTAGTATGTATGATATAAGGGAGTCTATAAAAGCAGGTTGTTCATGCAAAGCACAGGTCCAGCTCCCTGTGAAAGCATTTGTTAGACTGTCTAGGTTGAGAGTGCTCAAAAAACTCCAAAAACTTGTAATGGTAATAATATCAAGACATTATTTTCCTTTCTCTGGCCAAAGAGCGCAGCAAGAGAGGAATCTGCTTATCAGAAGGCTCTGCAGCCTAACCCATAGCCCTTGCTGCTAGAGGTTTGTGCCTCCCCATTTCTCAAAATCTGCATGTATTCCTGCATCAGCTGATTTAAGAAGCCTGTAGAAATTATTAACTATTGCTGGAACTGTATATGCTAACTGGAAGGATAGCAGGCAGATGTGTGTCACCTAATTAAGCAGAAAAGAAGCTTAGGAGACTATTAAGCCAAAGGGGCTACAAGCACGTTGAAGGGCAGGATTAAAATTTGATCTCGATTTCCGTGCTTTTTCAGGCCGTTTTCCCAGTAAGTCCTTCGTAAGTACAAAGTACTAAGGTAGGAATAATTACCTGTACAGTCACTGCAGAAGGAGTATTTCAATAGAAACATCAGTTAAACAGGAAACAATAATCTTAAATGATTGCAAAAAATAAGCATCATAATAGCATGTGTTAACAGAAGTGATCTTTGTAATCAGTTGCCTTTACTTGGCATTAGTAATACTTTGTTGGATTGTAGTCTCCAGTTTTGTATATTGCGCTTCAAAAAGGATATAGACAACTGTAGGGACTCCAGAGGAGAACACATGATCGGAGGCCTAAATAATGCTATTTATGGAGGAAGACGTAAAATGTTTTTTGAAGAAAAGAAGACTGAGGGAGACACTCTTCAAGTATATAAGGAGTTGTTGCAGAGAGAAAAGGAATAAACAGCTCTGTCCACTGGTGATGGGGCTAGAAATGATTTGACTTTACGGCAAAGAAAACTTAGTTGAATAGCAAGATAAACTTTCTGATAGTAAGTAATCTGGAGAGGCTATAAAATCTCCCCTTCTGCAGATCTTGAAGAACAAGCTACACAAGCACAGCAAGTTAATGGATCCTCAGGAGATTGCTTTCCGTCCTGTTTTCTCTTGTCCTAGGTTGATGTGGCCACCTGCTCCCCCCTACCCACATAAGGAAGGTAATGAAGCATGTGGGTGGATAAAATGGGGGAGCAAACAAATGCAGCCAGTGGGCAGACTTCCCCCCGTTTGCATTGCCAATTGATGGGTTGACAAGTGTAAGCTCACTAGAAAACGTCTTGCAATCGTGTAGAGACTTTCTTTGGATCCTTGTAGGTGATAGTGTCAATTTCCAAATCAAACTGCCTGGAATGTAATCAGGTTTTTACACCATGTAAATCTTCTAACTCTGAGTGGTGCCAGGCACTGATCTACTTCCAGAATTTTTTCCGTCCCAAGCTCCAGTTCTAGTCCCAAGTTCTTATCCAGCAACAACCTTTGACTTGGTGCCATTGATTTGCTTAAGTGCTGAGTGAAATTTCAACTTTGGCAGTTGCTTATTACTCCATCTGGTTTTCAGTGCTTGCATGAGTTTCCTTGGTGGAAGTCCCGCAGTGTTACAGGTGTTCCTTAGCGGCCGTGGATGTTTGTCTTGGCAAGTTACTGTGTCTCCCTATTCTGCCTTTCTCAAATTGTCAAACCAGCTTCTTCCTACATATTTTTCTGTCATCTTACAGAGTACGTGCTGTTTGGGAATGGTTGCCTTTTCCCAAGTCAGGAAACATATTTGCTCCGTATTTCATCCAGCATTACAATATTTGCAGCACTTAACGGGATTTTTAGGTTTTGTTACTAATCCCACCCATCTACAGCACTAGAGCTTTCCTAAGCTATATCTGAACAGAGTCCCTCTCCGTCTTGCTTTCTGGTGACCATGCACACAGGTAATATTTTCTCTTTCACGTGAGCTTATGCCTTGCCGCTGATCTCTAACCTGGGCATGGAGAAGAATCTTTGTTTCCTCTAGCCCTTTTTTCCTGTGAAAGTTTCCAGATAAATGTTGCCTCCACTTTGTATGGGGTGAATCAACATCAGAACTCCTTAGACAGCCTTCTTCCACAAATGCCTCTAAAGAGATCTAACTTTCCGAATTACTGGGTGTTTTTGAAAAGAGGCATTGATGCCACTGTCTTATCTCTGTCTTTTCAGATTTCTCCATGAATTTAGTTAGTCTTTTCACTCTAGTTCCCAGGTAGATTGTGATGAAGGACACCTTTCTCCTTAGGAGCAGACACTCATTCAAGCATTCACAAAAACAGTAAAGGTTTCGTGCGTGTGTGATGTCAAGCCTGGAGCGAATATGGGATTTAGACAGATTGTTTCCTACCATAATCTCTGTCAGCAATAACTGATTTCTCACTAGACACAGAATGGCTCGTCATCTCGTGCTACTGGCAGAGCTGCCTATGAAATGCTTACCCTTCAGGATTTCTCCACAGTTCAGCTCAGCCATTGTGTGAGGAGGGATTTCACTGCATGAGTCTTGTGCACCATGTACAAGGCTTTATGGATGTATTTATTACTTTGTTATCTGGGTTTTGGTATTACTTGCTTTATATGTTCCTAGCTGCACAGAGTTCCAGGGTTAAACCCAGATACGGTTGAAGGGGCAGTGAATGGCATGAGGCAAGCCGCTGGTCTTTAAAAGGGAAATAACTGAAAGATTTTTGCATCGTGGCAGTGGTCTGAAGCTGAATTTTCTTCTGAAATGTAGCAGCTGTCAAAGTGTAGCGCTTTGCAGCTGACTTGTCTCTGTTGTATTTGGAGTTACAGTTCTGATCCCAGGAGCAGCACTATTCGTTGTCGTAACCGTGATTATTTTCGGTGTTCTCTTCAAAAATTTCCGTCTTTCCTAGAAGCAGTTGTTACTGAATCTTTGCCACTAGAGTTGAGTGGGAAGGACTTTACTTTATAGTTTCACAGTGTCCCTCTGAACGCTGTCCCTCTGTGAAGTCTTGATCGTTAAGCAGTATCTTAGAAAAGCAAACAAAAAAGCCAGGTTGTATCTGGAAAAGATTACGTTCCTTCAAGTCAAATAGAAAGTTCATCCAACTTCTTAAAAACACGTTAGATGAGATGCTCTTCTGCAGATTTTTATTGGTTTCAGCTTGCATTTAACTCAGGCTGTTCACTCTTTTGGAGATATGCCACAGGCCTAACAATACTAATGAACAACCTTAAGTATCTCTGAGCAGGTGAGAATATAAGTTTAAGTTTAGAATTAAAATAACGTTTCTCCATCTCACAGTTATACATGCTTTGAAATTGGAGAATCTGAGATTTGAATCTTGATTGCAAGTGTTAGTTTCCTAACTTTGCACACATTTTCTCCTGAAAGTTTGTTCTCTTGGGATTCAGAACTCATCCTTGTCTTGTCTTGTCCCTCCATGCATTAAAGATTTTTTTTGTAGTGTTTTTTTTAAGTTTGGAGTAATTTTGCTGTTATTTTGCCTTTAAAATATACTCCTTCTTGTGTGTGTTTGTTATTTGAAAGTAGAATTCTTTTTAACTTCTCCAGTCTCCAGGAAGGCAAACAAATAAACGATCAATACGCAACTGTGTGAAGTCCTCCAGAGGTTTTTTTTTTCTGCCTGTTAGACATGCACAGAAATCTTTTTTTCCTAGCTGTTAAATTGAAAATGTGGCCATGTCACACACTGGTGCATCTAGCTCTTCCTGAGCTCATACTGTTGTCTTGACTGGTGGGTTTTGAAATGAAATCCTTTCTTTTCCTGTCAGCAATCCAAAAGCCTGCTGGCTTTTGTGATTTGATCGTGCTAGCAAAGTCATCCTCAAAATCCAGTTGTGACCTCACGGTATTCACAGTACAGGCAGTAATTATAGTTAAAACCGAACTCTGATCAGCAGTTTTCCAGCTAACTCTTGTTGCTTGATTGGAACCTAATACACAAAACTATATAATTATCTTAAGTTTGATTTGAACCTGCTACTGGCAATAGACTTAATAACCTTAAAATAGTTTTAAGATCTGCAGCCCTGGGGAGTGGAATTTGATACTGACTTTACTGTGGAGAGTTTGATTTTTTTTTTTGCCTTCCCTTCACAGGCAGATCTCCAAAAGAAGCATACGGAACAAAGCATTTTTCCGAAGTTCACATAGGAAATACAAAATGAGAAACAGAGCTGAGACAATAATTCAGCTTTGAAACAACTCTGATTAGTTAGTTTCTGTACTTCTTGAAAACTCTTCTTTAACTTGTTAGCTAAACTGTAGCAGGAAGCAAGTAGTGCATGAAACTTTATTCATCCGTGTGGCTGATTCCATGCGTCTGTGTTTGTTCCTTCTACAGAAGTGTAAGAGATAGTGACAAAAATAGAGAGACAGGAAGTGATTGGGACCAAGCACTCCAATTTGCACTTTCTGGAAATCAGTCTTTGCCTTGTGTTTGTTGTCTTCTCTCTTTTTTTTTTTTTTTAAAAAAAAAAAAAAAGAGCTGTGTTTTCACTCTGTTAAGGGACTAGCTGACATCCTTTGCATTTCTTTGTCAGTTCATTTTTTTGACACCTGGAAGTATTTCCTGTGTAAAATTCAATCTGATCTCATGTTTTAAGAGCTATCACTGCTTAAAGGATAGAATTTTGTTTTCATTTCTGTTGGGTATTCTGTGACAGAATGCTATTGCAAGTCAGTCGTTCAGAAAATCTTTCTGGGGAATTGAAGCTTCAGTAGTAACAGGTTTCATACATACCACATTTTTCCAAGTTTGTGAGGTCTTAGATTTATTTTAAGGCCATAATTAGATGGAGAGTAGAACTGTGGGTTCTACCTCTTGTGACTGCCTCCTAGCAGGAAGGATACAGTAAGTGAGCAGCGTGATTGCTCAGTGTAACAGGAGCCTCAAAGAGGAGTGCAGAAATTGTGCTAGGACGTCTACAAGATGATCCTTGAAGGTGTTTTGAGGTCTGTTAACAAAGGATACTGAAATACGTCTTCATTCAGTGGGAGAACTGAACCAGTGTTGGACTCCTCTGAAAATCCTCTACTTTAAACAATACATCAGGCTGCTAGTGTATTGGTGTGGTTTGGCCCGTAATCTTAAACTAATCCCATTTAGCAGTACCGAAGAGCTGAAATCTTATTGAAAAATTCTGGCACGTGGACTTGAGTTGTGGAAAGCAAGGCAGTGATGTCAGCTGGAGTCTTGCCACTGCTTTTGACATAGCCAGAATTTCACTTCAGCTGTGTTACAGGTCAGAGCAGAGCGTGTTTGCAGAGCTGCTTCAGAAAGCTGCTTCCCTGCCCTCCCTCAGGCTATGCCAGGCTCAAATGAGTTCTAAACTTAGTCTGCTCCATTGCACAAACACTAAAATAATAATAAAAGATATCTGTAAAGATAACCCAAAGTGAAGGCTGATCTTTTGATAAAGGCACTGATTTGGAACTCAGAGCTCAGTTTAATTCCCCGTTTGGTCATAAATTTTCTGTATAAACTTGGAAGGTCACTTAATCTCTCTGAGCCTCAGTTTTTTAACTATAAAATGGTAATGTAATGGTGAATTTTCTCCTTTGTCCATTATATACAGTGAGCTTTTCATAGTATGACACTGCATGGTAAGTTAATGTCCCACATGTAGATAATGGAGACCTTTCCATTTTCTTAAGCCATTAGCATAGAAAAACAGTAGTAGCAACATGTCTGTTCATCCTGTAAATCAGATCTTGCCCATGTTCCTTGTCCATGTTTGTTTGAGATGAAAACGTCTCAAATTACCTAGCCAGGTCAATGTTTAATGTATGCATATTTTCTAGCCCATAAAATACAAATAATGCCCTAATAGCCCTAATAAAAATTATGATATTATGTAGTAAAAAATACGCTGCTACAACTTTGTTGTGATAACATATTATGGGAAAAGGATGAACGTGAAGAACAGCATCAAGAAGAAAATGACAGAAGCTCCTGTTAAAACTACATAAATTCTACCAAATCCAGTCTCGCAGTGTATTTTGAGGGAACTTGAAAGAAAACTGATGCGAAGATGATATTTACTGTGTGTCACATTAAACTCAAGGAACTCTTTTGCAGGTCACATGAATCAGAGGGATGAAACGGACAAATGGATTAAGGCTGACGCACAAAATGGCAAAGTGTCTCTTAAAAGCCAAAGCTGGATCCAGTCTGTCAAGCTGAAGATTTCTTAAAGGTGAAATTAGGCCAAAGATATCAAATCAAGGAATCATAAAGTAACACTTCTGTAATATTATGAAACTTGTCGTAAGGTATAAACAATACTGAAAGTGAGGGCTTTGACACAACATTTGCCAGTGGCAATGGCTGGCGCTTAATGGGTGTACGGTACCGGTTTACTTTTCGTACCCTTTAGGAACGACAAGATGTTACATATTTAGAATTGGTATGACTTGACCCACTTACCAAGCCAGTCTAAAAGCTGGTAACTTTCAAACAAAAGTTCAGAGCTATAGTAAAAGAAACTTGCAGCATTTTGAAAATATGAAAACTTACTTGCAAGGTGGCATGCTCTGCAAGCTACTTTATATTTTTAAATGAAATGTCTCATTACTGTGTGAGTTTTACTGGTTTATGCAAAATGCTGAAAATTTTCGTGAACCACAGTATTTACAGCATGGATAGGATAAAACCACTTCAGGAACTGTAATTCTTATTTGCTCTTCTTGTTTGGTGTTTGACCCCTAAGCAATTTCTGCCTTATCTATGGCACTGTATGTATAAAACTACATACGTGAAATTATATAACTTGTTCCATGTCATCATGAGCCCCTTATCTGTGGACAGAAACAAGAAGTCTGGCTGTGTGTACCACTGTTCATCTGCTAAGCAAAGCGTGTGAAGTAAACACTCAAAAGTGCAACGGGTCTAGCTGATTTCAGGGGGGAACGTTGCACTGACTGGACTTCAGATAAGTCCTTTTAACATAAGAACATTCCCCTATAGTAAAAACCACCAAAGAAGGGAAGTATTGAGCTCATCAATGAGAACTATAGTCTGTGTATTTGGTGCATTTCCAGTGACACGCTGTCAGCCTTGCGTGACAGGACTGTAAGCTCTTTGAAGCAGAAAAGCAGAGGAGGGAGGTGAGGGGAGTTTATATGCCCTGAACAAGAGACCATGGCTAGAGGATTTTGTGTTACTGTAATATAAACATGCAGTAAAGTAAATTGAGCTTTTAAAAGCTTTTCCATTTATATATTGTCCCTTATAATGGAAGTACTGAAATTTGTATTTTAAAACTGAAAGGTAGTAATTCCTGCCAACTGAGTGGATGGAGGGGAGCAAAGAAGAGATCGTACTATCAGCTAAGGTTTTAAATTGCATGTATGTTTGTATGTGCTGTAGATCATAATGGCACATTGTAAAATGACCTCCTCCTTCCCCATGGAAAGTTTTATTGCCCCTTGCTAATGCACTGCAGTATTTAGGGCAGCATTTTTACTTTAATTTGGATGGGTTAAAGACTACAGTCTGTTCCCCATTGCGTGTACTGTTTAGGTGGGATTGGCACTGATGTATATGGCAAATTATGTCTATTTTTATATAAACACATACACTAATATATAAGACATTGCTTTATTACTAAAATCAATTAATATTGCTAGTTATTACTAATTATTATTATACTACTTTGAACAGATCTGAAATTAATAAATGTGTAATGGTTTTAAATTTCCTGAAAACTTTTTTCAAACTAATACTTACTGTGCACTGCTGCAGATATAAAGTGCAAGAAGCATTTCTGAATTCACACTGCACTTGAAAATAAAAACAATGTGGTAGATTTCACAAAACTGAGTGCATTTAATTGCCCTGAATTATCTTGAATACAAAGCCCATCAGCCTCAGCTGATTAAAGACTTTCTTTTTTGGACGGCTGCATCAGCAATTGAAGAGAGAACATAATAAGAAAACATTCTTTCCTGCACTATCAAAAGTAAGCAAACTAATGCATTCATGTTCTAAAACTAGTCACAATTAAATGTTAGGATTACTAGTTATTTGTTTAAAGAAGTTTAAGCAACTAGAAAATTTTTGCCACTCTGGGTGGCTACTAAAGCTACTCTGATTAAAATCATTCCAAGTTGGTAGATGCTGAGACCAGCTTAGAGCTGAAGAAAGACAAATCTTTGGGAGTTTCCCCCAAAGCATAGGATTAATTTCTTGTTCTGCTATAATAAGGTGAAACTTTAATCTTTCCCTGCGTAGAGAAAAATATAGTGAGTTATCCGTAATTAGAATTTGAGTGGTAAATCCCAGGTGAGTTATTTTTCATTCTCCATTTGAGAAGACTTTCTTGCAACAGGAGACAGATCATCCTTTAACACTTTTATCATCTGTGCTCCTTTATCTTTGATTCTCTTGACTGTCAGCTGCCAGCTATTCCCCAGTTCAGGTCTGAAAATGTAAACCTCAGCTGGCTTGGAGAGTCGAATTCTGAGCTTTGTAAGCCTTTATGTGAACCAGTGCGGTGGGTGGTGTGCAAGCGACTGCTTAAAAATAGAGAACTGTGCTTATGTGTGCATTTATAGCTATGCATTACAGATAGGTAGTCATTCAAACACTGTTCTTGACGACAGACAGTTGTGTGAAGTGTGCAACTCTGTGGGAACTCGGGGTGTTTATGTCCTAGAAAAGACTTCCATGACAAATGAGAACCCCAAACACACTTACATTTATTTATCGTTTACTTTGCATGAGACTACAAAAACTTGCAATTATTGAAAGATGAAGACAGCTTGAACCAACATCTGAAATTTAGCGATGTCTTTTCAGTACAGCTGTCTTGCTTTTGAAGGTGCACATGCTCCTACTAGAAAGATTCACAATGCATCCTTACTCATTCAACAAGAAAGTTGTCTTTTATTAAAGGATTATTAATTTTAAGAAAAATATTGTAGTGTTCTTTTCATGTTCTGCTGGGGAAAAAAAGGAACTATAGAAGATGTTGTACGATTTTCTTCATTTCTCATTTTGAAGGATTAGTTTATTCAAGCTCTGACTTGTGGTTTTTGGTGAAGGTGAGTATGTTACCATTCCTGTCATATCCGACCCAGGGAGGAGGGTCAGCATCATTATGCTCTTGTTTCTCCAATTTGGCTGTGTATTTCAGGACAGCTTGTCTGCAATAAGAGTTAAAAAGAGATTTATTTATTTATTTATTTATTTTAAACAGAGGCTGTTTCTGTAAAGAACAGCAAAAGCTAAGTCTAATGATGTGAAAAGTTCCTTGCTTTAACAGAAACTAGCAATATTACAAGAGGTATCTTGGAAACTAGAAGAAAAGATAATCAATTAGATCACAGTCACAAAATAAATTAAGTTGGAAGGGGCCTTTGGAGGTCATTTAATCCTGCCCTGCTCAAAACAGGTCTCACTGGATCAGGCGGCTCAGGGCTTTGCCCAGCTGAGTTCTGCCCATCTGCAGGGATGGAGACTGCACAGCCTCTCTGGGCTCCCATTCCACTCTGACCCATCATGATAAAAAGTAGTTTCCTTTCAGAATTTTACATGTACCAGCTTGTGTCTGTTACCTCCTGTCCTGGCAGTGTGCACCTTCTGAGAAGGGTCTGGCTCTGTCTCCTCCTCTGTATCCTCTGATCAGAGAGTTGTAGAGCAATAAGATCCTCCCGACCCTGAGCCTTCTCTCCTTTAGGCTGAACAAACCCAGTTTTCTCAGCCTACCTTTATAAATCATGTGCTCCAGCCCCCTAAAAATCTTGGTGATCCTTTATCTGGACTGGCTCCAGTTTGTAAAAGTCTTATGTTGAGAAAAATATGGATCTTTGGAACTGATGGTGAGTAGGCTATACTACTGGAATAATGGCACTGTGGTTTAAAGAAGGCTTCACACCAAACAAGACAGATAAGCCAGTTACAAAAAAAGATATCCCAGAATCTCTCCAGAGTGGTGTTTCCTACATAAATAGGAAGGATATAGTAAATGAGCATGTCCCTATCTTTACACTGAGCCCTGAGATTTTTCTTTGAACAGTTTGTGTCAACTGCAAGTATATTTTCACCCGTTCCATTTTCTCCTTTTACTTCTGCTTTACTGTTGCCTTTGTTTCTTTCTGTGGCCTTCTTTTTGCTTTTACTTTCTTTTTACCTAACTTCATTGCTTTTATTTATGTTCTACCACCCACCTTTTCTAAAGTGCATTGGTTCTGAGGTTGAATTGAGTACGTTATGGTCAGTGTAACAGAGCCTCATTGTTACTCTCACTAGCCCTGAGGACATCCTGAGGCTGTTTTCTGCAGGTTCTCTGGTAGCCGAACCAGGAGAGAATCAGTTACGGCATCTAAAAACATAGACTGCGTCATGTCCCACTGTCCTACTTAACCAGTAGTTATGTCCCCCATTTTCTGTTTGCTTCCTATTTGTGCATCCTCCGTAATCTCGCGCAGTATTTTGTTGCCTCTGCCCCTTTCAAGTGTTTTATTAGAACACAAACAAACTAGAACAAGATGACACAGAAATAGGGGAAAGTCAGGGCTGCTGAGCGAGAGTGTCGAGAGGAACTCTCCCTCTCCCTCCTTTACTGATACTGGCTTTTTTGCATTAGTTTTTTTTTGTGGTGGTGTTTTTTTTGTTTTTTTTTGTTTTTTTTTTGTTTTTTACCAGTCCAGCAACTTTCTTCAGCTTCCTGGGCTGAAGAAACTCAACCTTTCACTTTAAGTCTTTATGAATGTCTCTTTCTTTCCATCACTTCTGAGACTTGGCTTTTAGCCTGCTCCTGCTGCAAGAGGCACCTCTCCCACCCTCCCCTTCTCTCTGGCTCTTGCCCCTGCTCCAGAGAGCTCCCCCAGCTGTGCATACTGCTGTGCTCGTTGGGGAAGAGCCAGCGCTCTACCTCTCTCATCCTCTTCAGGCGATTCAACCTGATCTGGAGTCTCGCAGCCCTAGCAAGGTAAACAGCCTTTCTCCCTGCTGGCCAATTTCCTAAGCTCTTTAACAGACTGTAATGTATGGCATCTAGACAGTATTAGAGAAAAGTCCAAATTAGAGACATCTGTTACCTGCCAGTAATGCTACTATAACGTTCATATTTTTTTCCAAAGTGAAAACCATGAAAGTGGTTACAAAAGAAGCAAATATATGCAGCTGTAATGCTAGCACCACCACAGCGTGGAAGGGGTGGCAACTGCAGGATTTTTTTTTTTGTTAATTTAAAACTGACACACTGTATATTAAACGGAGGAACACAAGGCGGTATGTGTTTTTATATTAGGGAGGCCTGTGCTATTGAGGTATGTGTGCCCAACTTATATGAGGAACTGTAAGCTATAAAATAAAAATCAAGTCATTCGAGTCCAAATTCCTGTTTTCATGGAAACTGCAATGCATGGTGGCTGTCTCAAGCTTGCATAAGGGGAGCTGTTACTGTTTTTTGGAAACTTATGCTGCCCCATGCCTGGAGCTACAGTTGATTAGTTTGCCAGAAACAGCCATTCATTAATCATCAACACATGGCAAAATGCATTGTTTATTTAAGATACACTGTACAGATGAAGCCTGTTCCATCTATTTATATAGTGTCTTGAAGCTATCACAATAGACTCATCTTTGGAAGCAAATATTTCTTGGTATAAAAGTCAGATAAAATTACTGGATGAAGCACATGGCTTGAGCAGAGCTGGGATATATAATTCAATCTTTACCCCAAGTTTCTGTGTATGGCTTCAATCCCTTTTACTAAGAGGAGCTAGCTAGGAAATAGAGATCTGCATCAGGGTCTGAATTCTGGGCCATTCTAAAAATCAGAAGAGTTTGACTGCGGGTCCATTATAATTAAAAGTAGAGGTTTTGAAAAAGACATTTTGAGATGAGGTTACAAAAAAGAATCAAGACTAAAGATTAATGGAAAAGAAAAGCTTAAACATGGAATAACTGTTTGTAGTGCAAAAAGAAGTGCAACTGGTTTCATTTGAGTTCAGACAAGAAAGAAGGAAATATTTAATTTTGCTCTCAAAGAACAGCTTTTGATGGAACCAAACTGTTAGCGCAGACGATGCCCTTTGGTTCAAAGCGCTCTGCTGGCAAGGGACAGCTTCTGACGGCAATGGCAGATTTCCCTTTTCATTTTGCACCCAGAAAACTTTTCTCAGTACTTCAGCTGATTTTAAATAGCACTTGTGAGTGTTCTGAAGTTTAAGGAGAATTTTTATATAACGAAGAGTGGTGTTTCTCTAAAGATGACAGTGTATTGTTTCTTAACTTGCAGGACTAGTCCTAAGTGAATCCCAGCTGATATTACCACTTCCTACAGAAGTCATTTTTTAAAGGTGGTTAGCCCCCTTTTTCTCTAGTAGAAGAAATGAATTGTACCACTCTCATTTACTCCCATCGGTAGATTCTCCATGACGTGTTATTGCATTTAGAAACAGGATTATTTGACAAGTCATTAGCCTCTGAGTATAGAAACATGCAGTAGGATATCAGTCCATAGGCCTTTTTTTCCTTTTAACGTTTTTCCTTTTAACATTTAAGTAAATCTGTATGCTGGCAAATACAGCCTCAAATGCTACCTGATACTGGAAAGAATGGACAATTTATATGCTCATAACTATGTTTCCTATGAAGCTGTATTGGACTGAAACTGTAAGAATTTTGTGGCTCCATATGTTTTCTGTTTTAATCTAACAAAACAGTAAAAATAAAACTTTGAAAAGAATGGGACACGTGACATGAGATATGCCTAAATATTTGCAAGGCTGGGTCTATTAAGAGACGCCTGCTAGGATTGGTTGGTGTTTAACAATAAATGATAGGGAATCCCTTTGGCAAAATGAAGTATGCATGATTTATAGATTTTTGTGGGACAACTTTAAATTAAAAACATATTTCTATTACTTATTTAGAACCTAAGCCACTAGCTTGTTTAATTCTCAAGATTAATCTGGTTACATTGATGCCCTCTTCCACTTTCCCAAATAGGGATCTCTGAAATGTTAGTATGTTTCAGGCCTTTAGAACATAACTTACATTTGAAAACAGCCTTTTCCTGTACATTCAATGAAAAATCTAAGAACCCTATGAAGATTGAATACGGCTTTAAGAGTTAGTCGGAAAACAGAGAGCGGGGGCTGTTTATTTTTGTGACCATTTGTTGCTTATTATTCATTAATAAAAAGAGGTTGTGAATGAGATGCATAATTTTATAAAAGCATATTGTGACATATAACTGACAATACTGTCATTGCTGTTGATGTCATTACTGAAAATCTGCACCAAGGTTATGAACGGTTTACAATCACTGCTGCGTTGTACTTTGCTTTGAACGCAATTATTGGCGAAAAGCCAGCGTTACTTATCAGCCCCCCCAATATTGGTTTTGAACGATAATAAAACACCAAGATTTTTAGAAAAGATGACACATATAAGATGTGGCATATATCTGAATCTAATTCCCTTTTATTTTCTGAATATCATTCCATCTAATGACAACTTTACAATCTCTACTGAAAAGCCACTCTGGTCTTGAGATGTTCAGTCTGTTCTACAGACTGTCTAGGTCAAGGGAGGTTCTTCAGACATGTCAGAAAGAACTAGAAAAAAAATCACCAGTGCTGAATTTTTCTACATGATTGTGCCAGACTCAGAGGGCATGAGGTAAGAGTTTCCTGTCACCGAACATACGGTGCAAAGGGTTAGAAACTGAGGCTAAGAAAGGAACCATCCACCTTCACATGCCAGAAAATCAGATTGGAAAGCGTAAAAAATTGGGGAAGTTTGCCTAGTTTTAACATGCTGACCAGACTTCAGACTCACAAAAAAGGGAAAAAAAACACTGGGTGAAGTTTTTAAGCAGTGTGTCTGATGGCTGCTTTTTGTTTGGTAACGATCTATCTCTGGGGCTTTCTTTACAGTATAAATAACTGGTTGGGAAATTCCTTGGCAGGGAGAGAAGAGTTTAATCAAAAAGTTCAGCCAACCCATACAGCATGTGGGGCCCTGAGGCAGAGGGGTAATCCTGGCTTATCCTGCAAATTGCTACGATAATGTAAATGATCTTGTGAGAGATCAGGTGAGCTCTTTCATCAGGGCTCAGCCAACATCAATTGGAACTAACCCCAGTTTCTATTTCTACCACATCCCTCTTCTAAAGGAAGGTGTAAGCAACCAGGGCTCAAGAGGGATGACACACTGTTTAGTGCCCTAGAGATATGAAAGCACAGAAAAAGCAAGTCAAAAACAGTAATTTGGGTGTGAAGAGACAATCCCTTAAGGCTTAATAGGAAAGAACTAAATCTGAAAGTAGGGAGGAAATTAAATATTTATTTGAAATATCATTTCTGGAATGAAGAGTGAAATACTTTTAGAATTTTTTTTTCAATTATTACTATTGCATGCCACTCCTTCAAACCACTTTCCATAGCTAACAATTATTTAATTAAAAGTAGATGTTCTGAGAAAGAAGTTTTGAGATGACATTAAGAAAAGTAAGTCAGAGGGGAAAAGAGAGACCTGACAAGTAAGGGAAAGAAAAGTAATAATAGCAGAATTGTCCGTGGCAAGACAGTTAGAGGGAAATAAACCAGTGAGGGTTCAGAAGGCAGGAAGCACATTGTAAACTGCTTTGAAGTTTTTAAGCATCTGCATTAGTCTTTTATTTTCTACACTGACTACCAAACTGTGGAGTGATTTAGTAGGGGAAGCTCAATCTACAGTTTTCCTATTAGAATATAGAGCTCTCCTAGGATGGATACTTTGTGTCATCTAATGATACAAAATACGTTTCTTAATGAAGTAATAAAGTTTGATTAAGTTTGATACTTGGGTGTGCCAGAATGCTGGAATTTAAGTGGTTTTCCAGACAGTTTCAGTAGCTTCAGAGTGTCTGGCCTTGCTACCGTTCTAGGTGTAAGGCGAATGGTCTGTGGTGCTCTTAATGCTACAGAAGGTTGGCGGACTTTGGGTCTGCATCTTGGAACCTTATATCTCAGATTTAGATCTTGGATCTTGGAGCCTTAGAGCTGAAAACTCAGTTCTAAACCTGACCAAAACTGACTGGCTTTTGAATCCCATGTGGAATCCAGAGGCTAGTTCCATTCACAACAGTGGAGAAATTGGATTACGTTGTGGTAGACGACACTTTTTTGGAAAGATACAAAAAAAATACATTTCACTTACGCTTTTTGAAACTATTCTTATGACACTTTGACTCATTGGCCGTCACCATGCTGCATTTTGAGCACATGCCCGCATCCACACTTGAATCCACTTTTGCCAGACACTCATACTCAGTTTTTAGGAAACAGTCCTGCAAACCCTCTAAGTGACCTCAAATACACCAACCCTCAGTGCAATGGCTGAGAGCATTAGGTCCAGCCTGTTCTCCCTCCTGTTCCATGCGCCCTTGAGGTGATACTCTGTGTCTGCAGACTTTCCTAACCAAACGTAATCTGCCATAAAGACAGGTGGGGTCCCTATTTTCCTTGACTTCTGGCTGACTGTACAATATGTAGATACCTAACACTGAGCTATAAGAATCCTAAGGCAGCAATGTGGACACACACGCCCCTAGATAAAGGAGCAAGATGGCTCAAGCCAGATACCTGGCATGGCACCATGATGTCAAGAAAGACAGGCTTTATGTTTTTGGTTTTAAAACCATCTCTGAATTTAGATTAGGAAACACCCTCTTACTTGGTAATATTTCTACAGTACAGCATCTTGAGAATCTGGAGTTGCTTACAACCTTTCCAAAGATATTTCAGTGCTTTGTCAGTAAGATTAATGCAGCCGGAGACATCCAAGAAATGGAGATAACAGCAGGCTGCAGCCAAATATTCGATACATAGGTCAGTCATCTGTAAATGAAGCAACACACATAAGTTAGAAGGTTACTGAAGAGTTCAAAGGAAAAACACAGCATGCAATTTTACTAGCTGATCTGCAGAAAAACTGTATGTTAAAATACTTTGTGGAAGGAAAGTTTAGCACAGCAGAATTCTGAATCTCAGCGACAGACTCTACAGGAGTACGTTAGGCATTACCTAAATGTGATTCCAGTACATTCTGAAGTGTTGGATTTTTCACCTAATCAGAGTGGTCTAACTTTCCCAAGCCCATAATTCTGCACGTAGCATATATGAGCCTTTAGCATTGTTCTTTCTAAACTCTTAGGCTTCGCTATCTTGGGAGTTTAGTATATCAATCTTGTATCTCAGTTCTCTTAAAAATGAATGCCTCACACTATGACTTTTTTAACATACAGATGTTTTTCCTCTTCATCTGACGTAGAGCTACTTAGTTTCACTTCACAGTTCTATTTTTCTAAACTGACATTCAATACCATTAATACTGGAAGTTTCATTTGAGAAACACATGGGACAGTCCTCAAGGTACACAAGCAGTCATGCAAGATACTTAATAGCTCCATTGACCTCAGTGGGAACAGTTATGCACATACTTTAATTACCATGTTTAGTCAGTACCAGCAATCTAGAGGGGGACATGCTAAAGACCTTTAAAAGATGCTTTATTAAAATCAGAAAGTTTCTGACTGTAGTGGAGTGGAATGGTGGAAAGAGAGAAGTGGGTTTCACTTGCGTTGTAGAACCACTGTTGAAAGAACCTAAAAGGGACCAGGAGAAGAGATGAAGCTGCGATCTTGTCTGTGGAACGGAAAATGAAGCACCCTGTCTCTTGACATAGTCCTCCTGGAACATATGAGGTAATTCTATACTCTGCTTATTTCAAACTTACCTATATACTCAATATTAAGATCTGCAATAGACTAATAAATAGATTAAAAGGTTAATAAATAGATTCATATTCTTACTGAAATAAGCAAAAGTTGGCAAATGAACTCAGAATTCAGTATCAGATGCATTTCAGGGAAATCTATTTTCATCATACACTCAATCCTATTCCTTTTACAGGAATGAATTACAGGATTCATTGGCCATTGAACTGTGTCTTCAGAACTTTTGTTATTTAATTAGCTCATTCGTTTAACCAGAGTTTTATTTTCAATGCTAGCTATATTTTCTCATTTATGTCACTCACAGCATCTTCACTTGTCCTATGAAATAACAGTTATTCTTGAATGAGACTTATTCCTTGAGAAAGACTCAGAACTGCACTGCTGAATATTTTAAAGAAAGTATCATCATTTTCAAAATGACTTATACCTGTCATAGGTATACAGAAACATAGGACAGGGAGTCTCACTGCACTTTCACTGAAGCCTATGAGATTTATTCAAAGAAAGTTAATTTAGATATATAGTAGATATGATTAAAGCTGTTCTAATTTTCGAGTAACCTTCACAGCACATGCCAAAATACTCTTAATGGATTTGTATTTCTATATTGCATTTTCCGGTTCTCTTGCTGTGATTTTTTTTTTTTATTCAGGTATTTTTATGTAGCTGATGTTGCAGGACATGACTGTCAGACATATTTACATCTCTCTTTTGGAACAGATTCATTTTTACTTTAATCTCCCAACCATTTTTAAACAGTCTGAGTGGAAAATATTTCCTTACTTAGCAGCTGGATCCCCTCAATTTATACTAGAGTGTGCCAAAGGATTTCAGTGACCCATTAGTTTTAACATCCACAGGTGTACCCATCTCATTTTATGGAGTTGCAAGCTGTATTCAAGGCCAAAAAAAAAAAAAAAAAAGCCTCATAAACTTATGTGTGAGTTTATTTGAAAAAGTCTTGATGGTCTTTTCTGAATATGGTAGGGTATTAGCAGTTACTGGATTGGCTTTATAACCTTTTAAAGGAAAAGATACCATCTAGCAGCAAAGCACTGGAAAGGTATTACTAGGGCACTCGCTCTAGTTCTTGTTCCATTTGCGGGAACTACAAGATATGATCCAGTTCATTCCCTTATCAAGATCCATCCTAACATTACTTAATACTTTGCCGCCATCACTCTTCCCAGGATGCTTTCAGACTTCACTGCTGTGATAGGTGGAAACTCTCCCAATTTCCAGCCTCTGCATTTATGGCCATTTTATACTAATTCATTTATGCTTTATGTCTATAAGGTGTAGTAGAAAGCATGGCAGAGAAGATTGCTTGCAAAAATACTTAACTTACTTAAACTGCTGTGGAAAGATTTCTCTGCACAGCATCTATTATTAATATGGAAAAAAAAAACACCCTTAATATCTATCTAAAAGCAAAGTATACAGGAGATTGAGAATCTTGTATATAATAATTTATGACATACAGCAGGTGTCCATAAAATATAAACCAGGGGCTATTGTAAAATGTAGAACTACTTTGCCTTACCAGATCTGTGAGATAGTCTGCGTTTTTTGGTCTAGAGTGTGAGAAACTTAAGAACGTTTGGCAAGCTGATGACTCCATCAGATTATCTATACTCCAGGACTGGCTAACTAGTCCATCAGGTTAGCTCAAACAAGCTGGCCAGGAGGCTACAGTGAATAAGAGGACATGAGAGTTGTACGGAGGATTGAAAGGGTAATCAAGAGATTTGGAGATGGGCGTAGGATATTAAGAGAGGAGGAAGGCACAGACAAGTGATGGCTGTGGAAATATTGCGGGAAGAAATAGGATATGGGCACTTCAGTAGGAGAGAGGGGGAGACTGGCCCAGTGAGTATAATCAGTTTTTTAAAGGATAGTCCAGGATGAACTTTTTCAAAAGTAAAAAGCCTTAGTAAAAATAGCCTTAGTCTATTTGCACTTGACATAAGTAGAAGCAGCACTACAACAACGTTTTCCATGGAATTAAAAAAGAAATCAGCATTTTAAAAATTGCAGTGTAATGCTTGAGGTCAAAATGCAGCAAGTATTTGTTTTTGCTATTAAATTAAGCAGGTATTATTAAATGCAGAAGCACCAGAGGTATTAAGTCAGGAAGTTCTGGGAAAGAAGATTTAGGCCTTCATAACAGCAATAATTTCAAAAAAGAACATTCATTCTGATACAGGAAAGAGATAGATGAGAAGCAAGACATTAATCAAAAAAGAAATGATACAGAAAATATAGGAAGTAATAATGCTGCAGTATGACCTAATGGTAAAGTTTTGCTATAGATTAATCTTAATCTAAACAAATTAGTAGCTGGAAATAATTATATTTTTCAAATATCTACAAACCCTGAATGAAAGTAATTCAGCAGCTTTCCTAAAGAGATGCTAGTTAACCGAATATGGCTGCAAATGCACATAGTTATATTGGTAATAAATATTTTAAATACAGTACAGTACAGATAAGACCAACAGAAGCACACTGATGACTGTGGGTACCACTAACAAAATTATCTTAGTAATCTGGGTTATTAAGGGAATATTCACATAGCCCTGGAGTCATTAGTATCTTGAGTCTCCTTCTAGTAGTCAAGAGGGAGAGGGCTTCTCAAAGAACTGAAGAGAGGTTCCCTGTTTCAGATGATGCTTTATAAGAGCATCTCTCCTCATTGACTACAGAACCAGCCTAAGGAACACTCTCCTCCATAGGCATAAGTTAGTTGTTATGAATATCGCATACATTTTATTTTCCAAAGGACCTAGTTTCTTGGGCTTAGAATTTTCAAAATAATTAAGCATGCATTTACGTCTTTGGGTACTCTTAGGCACTCCTGCCATTTTCAAAGTAGCCACTGCCTTGCCATGTAAAGCCATAGGTATAGAGTTCTCCTGATGTCCCAGTTTATGCTGAGTAGTATTTACGAAGCCAAGTGAACAAATCAACCCACAGCTAGAAGCCTGCTGGTAGCCCAACCACGCTAAAAAAATGAAGACTCTGAAGTGGAACTCCCAAAGCAGTGGGCGCCCAGCTCATGCTCCAGTTTAAACTGCAAGCTCTAGTTCACGTTCAAGATATGCAGTATTTTGGATCAGGAGGACTGAAAGAAGGCGTGATACACTGAGGAGCAGCAGAGCTATAGTCACAGCACTAGCCCTAGCTAGTAGGACTTGCTGAACTTGATCGATGCCAGGAGAGGCTATACAGCAACATATCCGAGAGGTATTTAACAGTGGCTCAGCAGCCAGCTTTCCCAGATCAACTGCGTCTATGAAACACTCTACCCCTTCCTTAGTATTTCATCTCTGGTTTTGTAGCTGGCTCTCCACTCATTTGTCAAGCTTTTGAAACTCTTATTTCTTTGATATCTAGCTCTCCACGTGCATTGTATTAAGAGTTTTGGTTCCTAGAACAATCTTGCTAGTTCAACTAGACAGAAGCTAGTCTGGCTGGCTTTACCTGGGTTCAGAAAAGGCACTAGAAAAAAATCAAGCATGAAAACACTGAGAGCTATTAAAACAAAGACATTACCCTTTGGAAGCACCCAAAGCACAGACCACCAGCAATGGAGAGTAGCAGGAAGTATCACTGAAAGCTCTTCTCTGTTCACATTCTTCCCTAGACAGCAAGTACTGGAGAGACAGACTTACATGAGCTAGTATGGACAGTTTTATGTTTTAACTGTAGCCAGTAGAAGAAGGCCAAACATTTTAAAGGCTTGGCTCTCAGAACTTAAAATTCACAGAAAGTCAATTGAACTTAGGATCTGGTTTTTAAATTAGAGAAATAAGTTGTAGAATTGTGGCAAGACACAGGCCAGCAGGTCAAATTTCCGAGCGATGCTATTTATTTCTTTGGAACAGCAATCCCCAAACTCTCCTTCCCAGTTCTTATACATACCTTTGGACAACCAGCTATGCTGACAGTTGTAAGTTTGGGGCAGTGAAATGCCAAAGCTTTCACAGTTTCATCCGTCAGCTGAGGGCAGTAAGAGACATGACAGTATTCTAGGCATTTTGTGTCTTGGCAGAACTGCTGAAAGAGTGACAAACAGATCATTCCTTGGTGACATGCCTACTTTACTTTTCTCGATTTACAATACATTTACATTAATCCTTTGATACACTTCAGGCACTTCAGTTGTTTTTTTGTATCCTTTATTACCAGTGAAGTCAACTCAGCTGTAGGCTGTAAAGTCCACTGGAAAAGAGAAGAGATATATGAAGAGGTTGTTTTCCATTTCTGATGCTGATACATTACAGTATGTGTTCATTAGAGTAACATTCATACAACTTTCACTGTATATATAAAATATGCTGAATTTGGGGCCTTTAAAATGAGCACAAACCAAAACCTAAAGCTTTGTGCTCAAAGGACCAGCCCCCAAAACATACATTCTTCTACTCTTTGCAAATGCCCATTTTTGTAAGGCCAAAGTTTTGGGGGCTTTTTTTGTTTTTTTTTTTTGTTTTTTGTTTTTTGTCAAAATGAACAAACTGTATCTGTACAAATCCAATTTTCTTGGAAAGGAATGGGTAAGGATTTTAGGACTGTTACTCAAGAGTGCTAGATTCTGACTTGCAAAGTGAAATTCAGGACAGCTAACTATGGCTGAAGTGCCAACAATCTCCTGTAATTATTGCTGTGCTAGCTGTCGAGTGTAATTTCTATCCTCGTTTTTAGAGCTACTAAGCACCTGTAGAGCCCACTTAAATTCCAGTACCTTTGTAACTCAGGTATTAGTTTTTTCAAACACCCCATAAAACAGAAATCACTTTTGAAAATATCAGGCTAAATAGTTCAGTGACTCAGTTTCCCAGCTTGTAAAATGGAGCCGAGATAATTTCACACAAGTTATGAAATTTGCAAGAACTGTTTACAAAACATTTTCAAGATCTACAAATGGCAGATGATAAACAGGTGTAAGGTATTATTATTAAGACATTCCAGCTTCTTACATGATTTCTTGAATTTTTGCATTAATACCTACCCCATGCACTCTTCCAGGCCAACTGAAAAGACCAAAGGGACAATTTGACCAATTCAATGTGTTGATGTATTTTTCATCTTATATTTGATACTTGCACCTCTGAAGTGTGATCATATGAACCAAAGCATTTGGCAAAATGCACACTAAAGTATGTATGTTAAACAGTATTTCAGAGCAGCCCACATCAATCCTTGCTTCCCTTGAAACACAGGTGGTCTAACTTTGGGATACTATGCATGTTTATTCTTTGCAATGAAACTTCTATGAAAGGCCATATAGAGTCATAAAAGACTTTCTTCTCCTTTGCACTGTGAAACCTTGTTCATCTTTTGGACTGATTCTTTTTCAAACACAAGGACTATTCGCTGGTAGGTCCCCACAGAGAACGAGAAGGTATGCTGTAATTTTGTGTTTGTGGGCAATCAGCGTTGCTACCCTCCAGATCTGCTCCTTACTTTTAAAGTAGCTCAGTGTGGACCCTTCTCCTTAAGGGACTACAGATTTGTAAATTCAAGCATAAAACAATCAAAACAAGATACTATTTCTTCACTTAATAATGCCATGATGTGAGTGTTCTGTCCAGCAGCAGACCATTTTGTGGTTCAAGTGAAGTTTTAGCTTCAGTGAGAATCACCCCTCTATGATTGCCAGCCTGGAACAGCAGTACCTTAAACGCGTCACTGAGCTGATCTTCCAGGCCTGCTAATCTTGGCATAAGGCCAATGTAATTTGGCATTTTTTGGAATGGAAATTTCTTCTTCTATGGGGGAAAGGAAGGAAATATTTATGTAGCAGATTGAATATAAAATACTGGCTGCTTGGAGCTTTTCTGAAGTTTCTAGAAGTAGTCCAGAGGTAAAGAGAGTAAGGACTGCATGGATGCCTAACAAATGTGCCTGCACCTAGAGATAAACAAAGGCGCTTACATATTTATCATTCTGCAAAAAAAGTCCACAGTAGTCTAGTCTAGACTATTGCCTCTGACACATAGCTATTTTTCAGGAACTCACTGAGGCACTAAAATAATGGCCAGTACCTGGCCAACAACTGTAAATGTTAAGCTTTTTGATGACCAGCACTTGTGTGTGAGTTTCATGAGTTTTACATGAACAGATGCAAAGAAACTTGCTATCTGAAATTTATTTCATGGACCAGATTTTTAAAACTTACCTTGTGTCCTAGCTCTCGTTTGTTTTTTCCATCCATTAGTACAGATGTAGTAAGGCAGTGGTGCTTGGGTTTGGGGTTCTTGTTTTATTTTACTAATGTGATTGACTTAACCTAAGACTGGTCAGAGTGGACAGTTCAGAGCTTGCAAAAATTGGCTTCTCTACCAATTCTCTACCAAAGCTGTTTTAATCACAGCCTTACAGGGTGTTAACTGCAATGCAGAAACATTCTGAACTCTCAGTAAGAAAATTTTTTTATCTGCAAGTAAGAGAACCTCAACTCCCTTCAGATTTGGGCCTCAAATGTGATGACTTCATCACTGCATTCTCAGCTAGGGTATGTAGCACAAGCTGAAGCCAAGATTTCAGTGTTTGTATGGTACGCTTATCTTGTTTTTACTGATTCAGTTTGTCTACATACACATTTAAAGTATCCTGCAAAGTTAGGTTCGGAATTGCTCTGGACTTGAAGAAGGCAACCCCTACGTTATTTTGCAAATAGCACTATTTGGTCAAATAGAGATTTTTATAAGTTGCCGGTTTAGCTGAAAACACTGAAAAGTGTTTTAATGAGCTACTAAGCATCTTTAGGATACTCAGTGCTTTCTAGAATTATTTTTAGTAATGAAAGAATTTCTGGCAGCTTTAAATGTGTAATATATAGAGACAGAAAGCCTTGCTATCTTCTTAGGCTGAATCTTTTTTTTTCCTAACTGAATGAACTTAATATTCAGGAGAGAGGATCTACACAGAGCTTCTAAGTTAGCTAACGTGAAATGCCGTGCTGCCGTTCAACTCTCACCAATGGCTGGCAGAACAACAGTAACCGATACTGATCAACAGTGAAAGCGATACCAAAAAAATTGAGAGTTTTGGGTCTATGTGTGCAGAGTGTTAATGCCAAAACCAGAAAAGGCAACAGCATACCAGAGGTGGGACTGGGTTCCAACCTGTTGCTAATACCTCTAATTACGTGATCCAATTCCAGTTGCTTGTAACTGTGTCACACTTCGACATGCTGGCCTTTTGAAATTTTACTTGCTGTGAATTTGACTAAGACTGAATTATCCTGGGAAAACAATTTTGGTATTTGTGAAAATAGTGGGGAAATGACACTTATTTGAAAAGGTGTGGCAACTCCCCTGCCTTAGTATATGGGCTCAAGATTTAGCCAGAAATGACCTCTTTGTCAAGGAGTCTGGAATTAAAGGGCCATGTCTATATTAGTAATTTAAACAGTACCTGGGCACAAGTTTAATTAGCCATACTGGTTAAATTATTAGCAGGCTTCCTGATACAAGTTGTGCCATGCCACCTGGCTACCAAATGTTTCCTAGCCCATTTTGTTTACTAGTAGCTAGTTGGGGGAAAAGGCTTAAAGCAGAGGGTGGGACACTGAGACTGATACTGCAAAGAAAGTCTAAGGATTGCAGCCTGAAAGAAGAGTGGCACAAATATCCTTAGAGGCAACAGGGAAGAAACAGGGTGGACAGAAATGAACAAGAAGAGTCACTTGGGAGTGCTTGGGAAGAAAGCAGAAAAAACAGGGTAAAAGAGAGTGCTCTCCCATTAAAATCTAAAAAAAAAAAAAAAAAAGGATTTCCAAATCTTGCCATTTTTCTGCTGTTTGCACTTACCTATAAAACCCGCTTAAAATGCCCCTTTCATCTCTAGTGCTTCTATACATAGAATTCAAAACTAGGAACAAGACTCAGTTGGATCGAAATGGCTAACAACGTATGGAAATATGTACAGATGATGTCATGCCATGGTATATCAGATTCTTGAATGTCTGGGGTTTCTAACAGCAGAAATGACATAAACAAAACCTTTAAAGTGCCATCATTGCAGTTACAAAGCCAAGCTTTCAAAAACTAGGAATTGCTCCTGGAAACTTCATTTGGGCCTTTTGTGAATATTCCATTTTTAATTATTTGCTTCCAAAGTCTTTTCCGTAGGCTTAATGACTTAATTCAGTGCTAAGGATAGAACTATTCTAGGAATGAACTGCGATTCTTAAGCTGCTGTAGCTTATTTATTACAGACGTTAGTTAGACAGCATACACTGACTCAAAGTGAGACACTGCAAGAAGAAAAGGATAGACTGATGGTTGGGACACTAGAACCCTCTCTTGGAATACTAAATTTTGTCTCCTCCTGTCCAACACATTTTCTGTGTGCTGCTGGCCTAAGTCATTTACAATAAATATTGCATCGGTGCTGAAAAACTGCATTCTTCATATTCTCTGTGCCCAGTTTCAGCTGCTGGGATTAAATTTATATCGGCATTCAAAGGAAATGGAGCCTTGTTTGCTCTCTTCTGTGCAAAACATTCAGACACTACAAAAAGATGAATATCTTAAGAAGGAAACAAAATCATTTTCTAACGTACTTGCACAATTTTAATTCTGTGTAAGTAAGACCCCAGGACAGGCAAGCATCAATGAAAATACAAAATACTGCATATTAAGAGAGCATCATCGCAGCTGCGAATGAGCAGAGATCCTATTTACAAATATGTGATCACATAAGCAATTATACACTGTTATAATGCCCAGAAACAAGCAGGTCAATTAACACTGGAAGGTCAATGTTACTTTTGGCATTTCGTACCTTTTGGCATTTTACTTTGACGATATTAATAAAACACTCTTAATACACATTTTCCTTTCACATAATTTGCATACTCTCTATATAACCAAAGGATAACCAAGATGTGCAGTGTATAACTTTCTACAAAGTTTCCACAATCTCATACCTTTAGATTTGACGTACAAAAAGGGACTTGACATTTCTTTTTAAAGAAATTCCTTAGCTTTTCTTTTCTCCTGCCCTTCCTAGATCCCTGACAACATGGCTCCTGTAAATGCTATATCTTCATGTACTCCCTTCCTCAGGAAATTCAAGTTCATATTGCATATGGGGAAAATGTAAACACTTCTTTTTTTATGTTCTTTCTTTGGAGCTTATTTTACATGGTGAGATATTTATTGAAAAATGTTCTTAGCCATAAGCCATAGCACAAAGCAAAAGTGAATATTCTGTCCTGAAAGCAGCAGCACTGGCTCTACGCTGACTTCCAATGAGATACACACAAGATGTACATACTTGGCCATTGTTTTGTTTAAAAACATGCAACTTAGACCGTTCATGAAAGGCCAGTCAGAATTACTCCTAAAGAAGCAAATTATAATGGCCTGACGTGTATGTGGGCTAACAAGATTCAATCCAGATGCATCCCTTGTGGTGCAGCAAGAACTGACTCATTCTTATAATATATGGCCATAAAATGATGGATGTTGGAGCTTTAAAATGGAAAAAACCATAGCAGCTGAAAACTGGAATTACATGATGGCACTGCTTGTACCTGCAGTCTTAGGCTCTGCAAGTGTTTATGGGCATGAAATTATTATCATTAAACAAGATGATTTAAACATTTCTGTTACATATGGTTAGGAACAATTCTCAACTACAGATAAAAGTGCTCTTATTTGGATGTAAATCCCACTTCACTTCTTCCTAACAAGACAGATCTTTCTTTCTCCTACAGAGTTAGTAATTAATTTTTATTTATTATACTGTTCTCAAACACAAAGCAGTAAATCTGTGTAATCGTACTGAATTTGTCAAGTGTCCAAACAAATTTAGGTAAACCTTAAGCACACAAAATATCCTGTGATAAGGATAAGGAATTTCACAGCTTAACTATGCCTTTTGGAAAGAGTCATCTCCTTTGGTTTATTCTCAGTTTTCCAACCAGGTTCGTTTCATGCCCACTAGATTATGTATTGCAGTGAACAGCAAGCAGCTGATCCCTGTCTACCCTCTTCATGCCACTTGTGATTGCACAGATCTCAGTTGTATTCCCTCAGCCACCTCTTTTCCTGACCGCGGGTTCGTAGCCTGCCTAGTTGCTCCTTATATGGAAAGTGTTCCATACTTCTGATCATCCTTATTATCCTCTCTGAATCTTTTCCAGTTTCCACTTCTGTGCTTTATCCATAAAAAGAACTACAGTAACACAGAATAACTGATTTTACCAAAACAAGATAACGAGTGCCAATAAATCAGAATTTAATATGTAGTTAACTGCTGTGACCATACTGTAAATCAGATAAATACTTGGATGAGAAATCGCATCTTTAAAAAGCAAGAGTCAGTGAATCATGAATATAAAACAATTTATAGACATTGTAAAATGGAGTTCAATTACTGTATTAGTATTAATACTTTCATGACAATCATTAAATATTCAAAAGAAAAAAATATGTTGTCACTGTGACTTCATAACTTATTGTGAATTTAAATAATTCCTTACACAGCAACTTCAAATCATAGGTTGACTTTTTAGAATTTAATTACTTTCCTGATTCATAACTTTACAAAGATTATTGGCCCTGATAAATGTCTAAGTTTATAGGCTACAATTGAGGTCGGAACACTAAAAAATACATGTTTCAACCTGATCTTTTATATTTTAAAAATGATATCTAGCTTTATAGTGTCCAGATCCTATATTTAAATTTCAGGCTCACAATATTTCATAATCATTTTAGAAAGAAAAGCAATGGAAAAAATGGAGTTTAGTGAGATTCAGCAGATGACTTTCTGTGAACATGATGGCATCTTAAGAAGAAGTTAGTAATTCAAATATCTGTCTTAAAATACATGTAGTCCAACCATTTTCCAGCAGATTACTTAGTTTCATCATTACATATGAATAAAAATTGTATTTGGTGTTTTCATGGGATTTTTAAATAGTTTTTTTTTTTTCAAACAACTCTATAGTGATTTGTGCTATTTTTCTCATACAACAGCTAAGAAATCTGCTCAATTTGAAGAGGATGTACATGCATTTCTTATTTAAAGATGATTCATTATTTTTAATGATTTAAACTGGTAAGAAATATACCATTAGAGGCAAGTATTGAGAAATATTTTTGTGTCAATAAGAGACAATGATGTGTGGAAAAATATCAGCAGCGCATGAAGAATCAAGTGCAACAGACCAAAGGAAATGTAAAACTGTTCCATTGTGCTAGGTGTGCTCAGACATGCAACTACGGCATTCAATTCATGGCTGACTAAAGCAGCACAAAGCGAGTAAGACCTGAAAGCCCACACTAGTAATTGGAAAAATACATTTTTAAATAGCATTGGTGGAGGATTTGTAGAGCAAGGAAGAAACAACAGTAACAGTAATTTTGACTCTAATTTGTACTGTACAAATCAGTAGAAAGTAAGACTCCTGTAGTCTAAATGAAATAAATAGTGAGGCAAGCCAGTAAGTCATAAGCAAAAGTCAAATTGGACTGGGCCAGTACAGCATGGGAAGCTAGAAACTTTCTGTGATTTTTGGCATCCTGTGCTAGCGCAGAGTAGAATCTAAGGCTTCATTATAAATAATGCGTCTTGCTTTTATGACGGAAAGGAGTCAACCTACCATTTTTAAAGTGATCCAAATAACATACAGGGAGTGTGCCTTACTCTGTTATCAGTCAGTCTCAAACTACATATATATGTAAAGCAATTTTACTCATGTCTAGATATTTTATCGGTAGAGCCTATAATCATTTCAATAACAAAATTATCAACTATTTTACTTTGGATTTCATTTCGGTTTTCTAATTTGAGAAAACTTTGTGTATACACACAAAAATAAAGAAAAGGGAAGCTAAAGAAGACAAAGCAGACAGAGATAAAGTTAAGATTACTAGGTAAATCAAAGAAATTAAGAGGAAGAATAAGTGGAGACAGAGAGAAGATCTAAGCTAGGAAAGAGCTGAGTAAGTCTCTGAAAGTAAAGTCTCTGCCTTTAAAAAGAATACATAAAAAGTCAGGAAGCCAGAAAAGGGTCTAAAAATAGAAAAGGGTGATTCATAACACAGTGTGAAAAAACAACTTTTCACTACTATATTTTGAAGTCACTGAAATGAAAAAAAAATAGCAAGAAATGAGATTAGAGGGGAGAATTTCGGAGTCACTACAGAGGGACAGAATTCAAGATTCATTAAAATTCATAATAAAATGGGAGAGAATCATTGTTAAGACTGAGTGCAGAATGGGGTAATAATGAATGACAGGAGATGAAGACATACAGAGTAAAATAAGATCAGTTTTGGACATAGTTAATTTGAAGAACTAGAAAGGCTTCCAGAAAATTTAAGAAAAGAGGTGAAGTTTTACCTGAATCCCAGTATCGCTGATGTTTTCGCATTCTGATATAGAAAGTTCCTTTATGTTTCCACTGCAGCCGAGGGCTCTCAAGCCCTAAAAAGTTCCAGAAAAACCAGTCTTAAAAATCAGTGCATACATTTACATGTAATTATATTTAATTGGTTAAAATGGTCAATTATATCCAATGCTTGTATATTAAAGCTTCTATCTAAGAATTATATTACTTTGGAAGACATTAAAAAACGATCTTAGAGCATATCCCACAAAACATTATCTATTTTTTACAAATGAAAGGAGGACTGGAGATGTTGTATACATGTGTTGTCCAAAGTAACAAAAGAAATTAATTACAGAGTGGGAACTACAGTCCAGATTTCTCTCCTTCACAAATGCTTCCTTTACGTTTCCATTCTCACATATGCAAAAGTAAATTTCATATTAGTTGGTATTCTTCTTACAATCAAACTAGAAATAGTTCTCTCTATTGACTAATTAAGCTCAGATTCTTAAGTGTTTATTAAAAAGGACTTTTCTGGATCCATCAGAATCTATTAGAATAGTAAGTCTTATTTTATCCACCTCCATTTGGAACAAGTAAACATAAGGCTCTTATGCACATCCTTCACTTCAGCACAACGCATGTATTTTATCCTTAGTTTTTGCTTGAAGCACGCACAAGGGTTAATAACTATTTGTAGAAATAACTCAATGGAAAAAGCAAAAAAGTGTATTTTCCTATCTATTCAGAAAGAAAGAAACTGAGAAAAGTAGTGTAATGTGAAATACTTCCACAGGACACAAATCAGTGCTGTTATAAAGCAAGATACATTTACAGATCTCCTTAAGATTTGAGGTTAGAAAGAACTTTTCACAAGCAAATCTGTTTTTGTTCTCGTGGGAAGAACAAATATGCAACAGCCAAATAATATGTTAAATTTGTTGCCTTTAAGATTTGCCCATAAGTCAGGGACATACAGCTGCAGCTAAGGCACAAGACCATGTTTGAAACGGTGCAGTCACACTCGTGTATTCTTACACGAGAGACTAACCCCAATTCAAGACAATAGGGAAGTGATAACCTTGTAAATCCCTATTTTAGGAGTGCAAAAGGATCAGACGATGCTTTGTGCTTTCCTGCTTGTGCACCAGGGAGAAGGACCATGTTCTGGTCCTTCTAAACTTTCTAATTTGAAGAAGAAATGAATGTTTGATTTTGTAAAATGTATTCTAATATTCACAGCAGAATATCTGTGTGCTGCATATCAATAAAGTAAACTTTACTGAAAAACAAAAGTTGTAACTTTATTCTATAGGTTTAATAAATTATCTACAATTAGGCAGCCAAGAGTACTGCACAGAGAGGAAATATCTCGTTGAAAAAACAAGCATGTGTAAATAGTGTCTGGAATCCAGATGTGGCCATTGTAATAATAATGTCAGAAGAGTGCGGCTGGAGTTCAAATTTTGCAAATTCCTGAAACCTCACAGGCTGAATAAAAACAAAAAATGGAGTAATGAAAAAGGTTTCCAATCCTGACTGCTTCTGAAAACAAAGAAATTTGCATTTTTCTCAGCACACACAGTTATGTGGTGACCATTACTTTCAATAGCTTCATGAACATCTACCGATTTCCAATTTTTGTTGACCAAACCATCCCTATTCAGGACGAGAAATAATCATGTGCTTAATCTGCAAAAGAGTTTATGTCAGAACTTCAGGTCCTTACAAAGACACTGGTCTTTATGGGCATCTTTAGGGGGGGGAATTTCTTGCTGCATTTTTGTCATGTAAAAGTGGCACCACTTTACTGTACTTGATATATCAAGAATATTATAAATACTTTTTTGCTATATGATGACCAAACCTGGTATTAATCCAAAGCTAATTTATAATCATTTTAGCTGACTACAGTGATTCTGAGTTACAGATCAACTACATAGTATCAGGTCTAACTATTTTTCACAATAAAACTCAAGGTCTCATTTGAGATGTTTCATTAATATGACTAAATTTGACAAGGCAAAGAGTGAAGACATGGAAGGGAAGGAATGCCATTATGAACTTAATTGTCACTTACATAGAAAAACATACATGAAACTTTCACCTTTCCAACAATAAACCTCTTCAAGCAAGTTCTGCACAGGAAATGTAATCTATATGAAAATGTTAACTATTATTTTTAAATCTAACATGCATGTAAAGTAGCCAATTATCACTAATTCTACTAGACTGATTTATTCAGAAGTATTTCCTGATAAATGACATCAAGGATCCCCATCCAGGATTCTGACCTATTTCTGAGACTTTTATCTTCTATACTAAGCCTCCAGACATTTGTAAAAGATACGGTCTGAGCTATCATATTACCATTGGAATTCCTGGAAATAGATGCTAGCAAAACAGACACTATGCAGCATACAGAATATGTTCATCCACTCTAATGTGTTTTCAAAAACATACTTCCTCTTTAAATTAAAGAAAACACCCCTTGTATTTTGGAGAAATCTTTCATTGTTATGGAAAAAGGGAAGACTTTGTCCTGCGTCTTTTGTATAGCATGTGTATTACCTTCTCCATTTAGAAAACACAGTGAAAAGAAATTTCTTACTCTTGTCCAATAGCTGATTTTTTTCAAGCAACTGAGTTATATATTTTTGTTGTGTTTCATTTACTTTATTATGTGTAGCATACAATCATGTGCAGAACATCATTTATTATCGTTTCACATCATAGGCTTTGTAGATGAGAAAATGACTATTTCCTGTACCATCTGGTGATGGGAGATAGATCCATGAAATAGGTCCAAAAGTCATCTGAGGCTATGGCATACCGAAGGACAATTTTTTATTATTTATGTCCACAAGCTGCCAAGCTATGCCTTTCAACTGCAGACTGCAATGAATGTATCGTCCCTCACTAACAATAACCACGTGCTATATTATTTTCAACTTCTGAGATTTTGGTTCACATATCTCTTTGTAACCTTAAAGGTCAGCAGCTGTAATGTATCTTAGTATGTGTTTATGTTCCAGAGAAATACAGGTGTCACTTCTTGTTCATTCCCCAAATCAAACAGATTGACCTGAAAGTGACTCCAGTCTTGGAAGACTCTTGGAAGCTCTTTAGAGGTATCTTCCACCTTCCATATGTGAGCCATTTAATTGGAAATGACTCAGCTCATCCTCTAAAATGTTCAGATTTCTGCGTAGATTAGCCACACTCAGGCCCCAGTTTCATGGATCAAACATTTTCTAGAAGGGAAGAATGTACCTCACAGTGTCATTTTGCTCTTACATACTAAGTATGGCCATTGTATTGGTCATCATTTGGATGTGATGATCCTGGGATCTATGACTGAAATACTGGTTAGCTCACTTGAAAGGACTTTAGCATCAGGACTACAAGCGACTGATGCCTTGGAATTGAAAAAACAGCACACTTGTTTGTCCTGTTCTTTCCCCTAAGACAATAAAGACAGAAGTTGAACCTGCCTAAAGTAGAGAAGCATCCTCCAAATCTAAATCATGTAAGATCAAAGTTCGGTGGAGGAGACAGAATTTTACATAGGGTATAGAAGGGAAAGAGAGAGAGTTCTCTAACCAGAAGAAACAGTGGCTGAAGCAGGGAAAAAGGCTTTAGCTCAGTGAACGGAATCAGAGTTCTCCAAAGGCAGAGCGCAAGCCCTTGTGGACCTGTGCGTGGTATGCCAGAGGCAAAATTATGTAATGAAACTCACAAAGTGAATCTGCCTGCATGTAAGTACTTGAAGAAGAAATATGGTTTCAAATACAGAATAGCAAAGCAAAGCGAGAGTGATCTGTAAAGACTGTCTAGAGTAAGTGCTGTACTCAAAGGCGCAACTGCAACTCACCCAGACCTACCCAAAACTAGTTCTACCCTAACTAGAATAGATACTAATAACAATAAATATGTGCCAGAACAAAGCTCAGTTTCAGATAGCAAAAACCTGGAAAATTGGTAAGTCCTTAAGCAAATAATCCACAATGATAATAGCTATTGCAGCTATACTGTTACCAGTCCCTGAGCTCATGGAAAAGCCGGTCAGACTTGTTTACAAGAACTGCAAAGACTTTTTTTTTTTTTTTTGCTGAGCAGAAATCCCCCAACACGACTTCCTGTGAAATACATGCCAAACTCAATTTCTATACGTAACCAGTTGTGGCTAGTCCAGATCGTAACTTATGAAATACAGTTGCAAACATTTCTTGATACTAAGCCTAGACACCCAGCTTCTACTGTAACAAAATGTCCTCTAAAAAAATTGAGCACAATTTTCAACATTGCTAACTACTTCTAATTGCTATTGGTTTCAGTTGGGACTTAGAGTATTAGCACACCTGGCATCGATTGTAACGACTCTCTTAGTGCTAGTATTTCCTATTTCCATGTAGACCTAAGCTTCCAGATCTTCAGGCCATATTCTCTCTTTCACTATTTCCCTGAGCAAACTGGACTGCAAACATCTGAATTTAGATCTTATTCAATGTATTTTAATATTTCCTCTTCCCTGCCTTGGGAATGTGTTTCCTGTGCGTGATTCGTCACTCATTTTTCTTTGAATCAAATTTTACAGTCTCTTGCTGGTTATGCTTATTAGACCCGATAATAAGCTTTTCTTCCCATCCTTTACAAGGCTCCTGCTCAGTCCCACTGTCTAATTTTCTAACAGATCAAAACGTGGAACGAGGCTGTGGATTCAAGTCACCATAAACCTGGAATCCACCGATGGCACAAAGCACTTACTCTAGATAATTCCATAAAGCCAAAATGTAACTTTTTTTTCCCCTCTGTGGTCTATTAAGTAACTTATTATTAAAATATTAGCAAATATTTATGTTCCAGCCTAGCCTTCAGGAATAGCCAGGATCACAGAATCATTGTGTATAAACACATAATAAAAGGAAGTAGAACTGTTTATATATCCATATAACCACTCCTGCAGTGTCCATAACGATTACAAATTATCCTCCGCTGAAAGAGTAACTACACATAGCCAGCATGCAAACAATCTGTGACTGACTTGATGCCACAGGTGATAATCCTTCAGGAGGCATTTCAGTCAAAAGACAGAATAGGGCCTTAGATATAATGAGAGAGAGAATGTCATGCATGGGAGTCATTGTGGAAGAAAGTATAGAAACAGCTGTGGTAGACAATTTCTTCATAGACTCTATTTCATCTCTGATTTTACACTTGTATCAGGATTCTTTCAGTTTAAATTTTTTTTTTTTTTTAATGTTTTGGGCTAGTTTATTCTCTTTCATTAGTGTACTGCACATAATTCACCACTGATCTTAACGTAAGTTTCTCAGAGTCTATAATGGCTAAAATTTGTTTTTACTGTTAGATGGTATAAAGTAACTTAGGAGTTAACTAATTCTCTTTAAAAATTCCTTTGATTGTTCTTTGCTAGGCTTTTTCTAATTGTCTGAATCCTGCTTGACTTAAGACACTTTCTTCATATGTCCTAACATTTCTACACTTTTTTTTTTTAATATCCCATGAAGATGGGTGGTCCAGACCATATGCATTAGCAATTTGTCTCAGAATGAGGCTAGCTAGGCAGCTTCACACTTTGAGATCCTCAGACTTGGAGCAAAGTTTCCAAAGCCGTATCACATAGACATCAGAAAAAAATTTATGACATTTTAACAAAATTATGGAGAGCATGAGAGAGCAAATTATGGAGAGCTAAAGCTCGTAGCTAATACGGCTTCTCTAATTCATGGAAGCAGTTCTACTCCGTCACTGGGACTGCTTTTATAAGGAAGGCATACATGTTTTGGACCTAAGTGCAAGTGTCCTCATCTCAGTAACAGAAGTTTAAAAATCTTGCAAATATTTTATATGTCTGTACAACAATATCAAAATGATTTGTAATTACAATATTATTTATTAATTCATAGAAATGTTTTCAATACTCGTAACCCAAGCTCCTCAACCCCCCAAACCCTATGGTCTCTATGCCAAGGAGTTTAAGAGCGCAAAAGGTGAAAGAAAACAATGAGGGATAGAAGGCTAGCTAGAAAAAAGGGAAATCTCTGGAAGAATTTAAAGGTAATTCTTTCAAATAGCTGTATATTTTTGCACTGTCATTGTGTGTTTGTTTTCAAAAGAAATAATATAACTAAGGTTGCAAATCTTGTCATTTCTAAGTCTCTGTTTTAAGTTGTTTATAACTCTAAGAAACCTACTTCTAGTATTTAGGAAATGATAAAAACAGAATAACTATCTATCCCACTATTAAAAAAGTTACTGAGACTTTATCATAATGGATGTTTAGTTTTGTAAAAGAGAAATTATTTGTTTATGTTTGTTAATGTATTTTATATGAATAGGAGCAATACAGTCAAAGCCCTAATTAGATGAGTAAAAGAACTTATTTGGTATCCCACTAATCTGTTATATGCATAACGCTGGTATCCTCTTCACTGGATGACATTAGGCTTTGTTAATCAATGATCTTTGATTGTGATCTAGTAAGACACTTAACCATACATACAACCTTAAGCATGTGATTAATTACTTGCCTTAATCTAGATTCTGTTCAGAAATTTGCCTAGAGAGTTTTTATGTAAAATGTATAACTTTCTATATATAATACCAAAATTCTAATATACACAATAGTTATATTTTATTCAATTATTTCCAGTCTTTCTTTAGACTCAGGACAAGGATGATAAACGTCTCCAAACACGGGAGAGAATAGCAATATTTTTCATATTAGCACCACATTTTTTTTCCTACTGTGAGTCCAAAGGGTACTGTAAATATTTGTCTAAATTAATAAAATCTCTTGTTAGGGACAATTTGAAGTGTCAGTGTATTTCTTCAAAAGGCAACAACTTCCCTGAATGAAAGACAGGCTGCAACAGGAACATTTCACCTTTAGGCACCAGAGAAACTACAGAAGAGGAAGGTACCAACAATGGAAAAAACTTTCACTTTGACTCACGCTCAGTCAGTCATCTATGAGGCACGAATCTGTAAGAAAATTTGACTCTGCTTTTTCCCCACCATCCTTCCTTTAGATCTATGACAGCCCAGTTGCAATAAATTCAGCTCGCCTTTGCTGGGCAAAATGATTCTGCCCTCGCTTGAGATAAGACACTAACTTAAAGAAATATTCTCCGATGTAGTGCAGATCTATGTTGCACATTCAGTGTGTTTCACACACGGCTAAACTCCAAATAGCAGGACAGCAAAAGCAACAGCAATCATCTACCACACTTACAGGAAAGAATATGAACTTTATAATTTCTCATTAGCACAAGGTAATTCTGTTGATTATCGCACATAAAGCATTGTCTTCTCTACTACAGTCTTAAAGTAATTTGGCCACAGTGCTTACAAAGTCTAAATCGAAAGGCATATTAATTGAACTTAAATTATATGCTAACACAAATGCATAAAATAAAAAATAAAATAAAAGTACACAAAAGTAGCTTATTATAAAGCAGACTGTGAGATTTCCTTTCTTCAAGCAATGCCCTAACATTTAAAAATGTATTTATTATGCATAGGTGAATGCTATATACTTAAGCACAGCAAACGGCAAAAAACATGACAGTTTTGTAGCCAGTACCAGTAATTAAGTCAAAAATTACAGGAATGATTAACAGTCAATTTCCGGGTTAATTTATCTGTCTTGTGGGAGGGAGGAAACTCAATGTTTTAGAAAAAGCAGTGTAAGCAAAAGAGCTTGGATTATTGCCGAGGGCATGGGTTGCGCTACATGAAAACTACAGGAAGAAGCAACACTATTTTAAAAGACTAGCTGTGGCAGACAAAGAGAAAGAAAATGTGTACATTGAAATTTTGTGGAACGGTAATTCTTACTGTTATAAATTTCACTCAGATAAACCACACTATGAAAAAATATGAGCAATGATTTTATGATATTTTAAATACATTAAATCCTCTTTGTTTTTCTAACCCCTTTGTTTTTCATTTTTATTTTTAGGCCTCCATGAAGGATAAAGAGTTTTTAATTACATTTGAACAAAAATCTGTGAATTTTAATATTTGAACAAAATCTGCGTTAGAGCCAAACAATTAAGCTACTGGTCAGAATTCTGTTTGAACAGTGACTGATAAATATTCTACATGACAAGAGTTTTCTGTGTTAAACGATTCTGTGATTCTGTGATTCTTTATGAAGTTTATCCTAGATTTCTGCGTTCAGTGAAAAATGTTTGCCTCAAATGTAAGAGGAACAGCGGATTTGGCTCTACATCCTGTGCATAAAACAGGGTCTGCCAAGGACATCTTATGTAGAGGGTCTGCTATGTTTAACCTGGCTCCCACACTTGCTATGGCGCTTTCCAGGGTCTTAGTGACTTGACACTTTGAAGATACCTTGTTACAGAATCACAGAATGGTTGAGGTTGGAAGGGACCTCTGGAGATCATCTAGTCCAACCTCCCTGCTCCAGCAGGGTCCTCTAGAGCATATTGCCCAGGATCACATCCAGACGGGTTTTGAATATCTCCAGCGAAGGAGACTCCACGACCTCTCTGGGCAACCTGTGCCAGGGCTCTGTTACCCTCACAGTCAAGAAGTTTTTCCTCAGGTTCAGATGGAACTGCCTGTGGTTCAGTTTCTGCCCGTTGCCTCTTGTCCTGTCGCTGGGCACCACAGAGAAGAGGCTGCCCTCATCCTCTTGACACTCCCCCTTCAGATACTTGTACACGTTGATGAGATCGCCTCTCAATCTTCTCTTCTCCAGGCTGAACAGGCCCAGCTCTCGCAGTCTTTCTTCATAGGAGAGGTGCTCCAGCCCTCTCATCATCTTTGTAGCCCTAATTAGGGCTTAGTTAGTAATTCTTTCACTAGCAATTATCTTCTAGACCACAGTGTAAAGCAGTGCCTCCATCAGAGGATTTTCATCATAAATATATTTCATGCAAAATATAATTTTTACAAATTTTAAAGTTCTAAATATCATTTTTTTTCAGTTCCCCTCAGGTCTAATCATCCTGGAGCAAAAGATTTCTGTTTAACAAACATTTTCTTCAGATCGGTAGCACAGTTGCAGCCAAACTCCCTCCTTCTGTCAACTTCTGTTTCTCTGTCTAAGGTGAGAACTGTCCAATGTGAGAACTGTCCAGTGTGAGAATTAACTTTTACTGAGTACTGATGATATATGGACTAATATAGTACTATACATTTCTAAACTATGTTTTAATGGTATTGCAACTCCACTGGGTCGTATCCATGCAGCTTTTTAAATAAATGGATTTTGTTTGTATTCTTTTCAGAAAGCCTAGATAGATAACAAACACATTTACTATTCTTTTAGCATACTTATACCATATCTGAGATACTGGTTCCAGAGATATCAATCGATATCAATGAAGACATAGTTCCCAAAGCTTCAATTCCAGCATCAGTCACATTTTCACAGTAACGCAGATTTAGGTAGGTCAAATTATGACATCTAAATTAAATAAAAAACAAAAATGTCAGCTTTTGTTATGGAAATGCAGCACAGGAATACATTTATGCAATAACCCTGGCTAAGTTTTTTTTCAGGGGACCACTCTAATCCCAGGTCATTATATTCTATTTATTTTTAAACTATATTATTGACACCTAGGTTACATAGGCACTTCCAAAGATTACACTCATAATGGGAAAGCGTTACAAGTACTACAAATGATGAACAGCAATCACATTAAACCAAAATATGGAAATCAAGATGTATTACAAAAATATACATATTTTTGATTAGTTTAATGCTTGACTTTTCCCCATCTCTAAATCTCTCCTATCTTGCACAGGAACCTCAAAGCTCACTACAGCCACAGGACGCTGTGGCTGTGCCCGCATCTAGATGCATTTATGCAAAGAATGGCATAGAGCAAATGAAGAGACATTGCCCCGCTCTGCCAGTCAGGACACGCTGGCCAGAAAAGGAAGACTGAATTTTACATCTTAAACGAACTCAGTAAACTATATATTCCCATACTTGAAGCAGAAGACCCAAGAAATGTGACTCCTCAAACAGTGCATCTGTGCTCAGAGCCTTATTAAGGGTAACACTCTATCAGTATGATCAAATCCGTAATACCTAAGAGTTTCTGAATCATTACACCAGAAATTCACGTTGAGTTCTAAGTAGAAAAGCATAAACAAAAATTTTAGAAAATTCCTCCTCTGATACTATTTTCTGTTGACAAATCATTACACATGAACACCATAAACTCTTACAAAGTCATGTAAAAAGTTCCAAAATATCAAATCCTTAAACTGAATATTCAGTGTTTCTGTAGAGGAAAACCAAGTTTTCTCTGTATTTTGAATATATGACTTCAGAATTATATTATTAGGTCATTTTGGACCTTGATAATTCTTCTTCTGAAGTAGATCTGAAATCTATTAGGTCATACATAATTTCTCTGAACCATGATTCCACATCTTTTCCACATCCACAACACTATGTTAAATCCTTCTCACTGCTGGGTAGATAAGAACAAAAGGCGTTAAGAACTTATTTGCAAATAATCAAAATAACTGTTCTAGTGTGCAAAAGTGCAGTAAGCCATAAGTCCAGCAAGTATGCTACCCAAAAGTATGCATATTGAAAAGATGTATGTGATCCATCAATGAAACAGAGACGTTGTTCCTCAGTTTACAGGCAAGCCTGCTACAGTTATTCACAACTATTGTTACTAAAGCATAAACGACTGTCTCAAATCTTCTTTTGCCATGTTCTTTACTTATCAATACCAATAATCCTGCTGATGAACTGAAGGTGAAGAGGTTTAGCAGTAAAGTCCTTTTCGCTTGTTCAGGCATGAGCATTTATTGAGTTTGCAAAAATGTGCCTTTGACATACTAATCATTCAAAACAATTTTGTAACTGACAACAATCATTTAAGATTTTTTTTTCCTAAAATCAAGACTTTTCAGGTTTCCGTTTTTATATTGCTGAATTCCTTTTCACACAGTGGATCATTTTAATACGTTCGTAAGGCCCAAAAGGACTAGTAATTTATCTAGCCCAATTTTCTGTATGTAATGGGCTGTATAATTGTACTCATTTATTAGCATATTAAGAACCGTAACACTAAAAATACAAGAAAATCCTAACAACTACTTACACCAGAATACTGTACAGGACTATGGTACCTTTGTGCTATTTCTGTGACAGATGCATCAGTGACACAAACACAATTAGTCAAATTCAGCTCTCTCAGGGTAGCACCCGAAGAACCTTCTACAAATGGCCTTATACCTCCATCACCAATTCTAAAAGAGAAATATAAGCAATATTCAAACACAAAATATGCATTTTTTTCATACTCCATAGAGTTCAATATACAATTTGATTCAGCAGCCTACATTGCAGACAAGCAGAAATTAATACTGATATTTTTTGAAATTATCTTTTACACCTAGAATGGAATCAGAAGAATTAACAGTTCAATTAGAAAGAGGCTCTTTGTAACTACTGAAAAATAGAACGTTCTGAAAAAAAGCCTGCTGGAGAGTGTGACAGCTTCCACTGGAATCCCACCCTCAGGTATTGTAAGACCCAAAAACGTAGAGCATGGAAAACATATCTAGAAAATAGCAAAAGCTGTTTAAACATTTCAGAGTAATATTTGTATGAATGTCTGCCTTTGTTAATTTAAGTAACTGAAATAATTTAAAAGAAAAATGATCTCCTAACACACAAGCAAAAGCGTGGATCATTGTACACAAGGAAGTTAACAACACACTTGTATCAGGAAAACATGCCAAGAGTATGTTTTGAGTTACCATATTGCCTGTCTCTATTCTTAGCTGCCTTTTTACTTACATCTCCGCTATTTTTCAGTTCTAATAATCGTAACCAGTTAATTTTCTTTCTCCATTTTTCTTATGCAATCAAATAGTTCCTGTAATTTTAAGAAATCTGAATTGTTAGATTTGTTCCTTCTGTCTCTTTCATTTCTCAAAAAACGTTCTGCATGACTTCAAAGTTTAGAAAAAGTTAGACTCTTAGACTAAGATAAAATCTCAATGAAAAAGAGAAACTGATCAAGAACATTACGATCATATAAGCTACACATTTCAAAAATCTGTTCTTAATTTCTATCGCCAGTATGCTGCTTCCCTTGATTTCTGAGATAATTACCTAATTGTTTCTAATTCACAATGTGACATTTTATAGCAACGTACTGCCCAAACAAGAGAAACATAAACACAAATAATTCTTCTTTTGTAGTTTGATATCTCTTTTCTTGAGAGAAACTCTTTACAAGGTTTAGATTTGTTACAATCTATATCTTTGCTAAGGCTGAAGCTTTTACAAATGTCTGCAAAAGTAATAAAAACTATTCTAGAGTTTTACAAGAGCTTTATAATTGCTTAAAAAGTTTTGGTAAAGGAATTCAGCAATTCTTTAGCATTTCATACCATGGACACGTACAAACACATACTCACACCCCAAGAAGCCACTTGGCTAGCAGACTGGAAAATCCAGCCGTCTGAATGTTAAACCAGAAAATTCAGGCAGCTGTCCCATCTGCACAACTGAACTACCACCATGATGTCATAGTATTACTCCAGCACTTCTCAGCACATTTACAAGAAATGTTATCAAATTTTTACATAGCATCAAGAAGCACAGAAAGTAGTTCAGCTACATATGAAAGCAGAATCCCTAAAATTTAGTATGACCTCAGAAATTTTAAGATAAGCAGCAATTCTAGCGCTGCGGCTTTTGTCTTCACCAATGAATGGATTGTTGAAAACATGTTACAGGAGCAAAAAGCTACATGCATAAAATATTTTTTAAATATCAAGGTATATGCATTAACATTGTAAGAAATTATTTTTAACACTGAAAGATGTGCTAAAGGGATGTATGAGGAATATAATTATCTTTCCTTAATAAAATTTCTTTAAATGGTTTATAGAAAAATGGATGTGATTTAGTACCTTATGCAGTCTGCTAAATTCAGTACAAGAATATACTTCAATGGTGCAATCATCTTAAGACCAACATCTGTGATCTTTTGGCAATCAGCCATATGAATATGCTTGATGTAAGGGCAGTATTTACTGATCAACTTGAAACTTAAATCAGTAATTCGATTACTTCCTGTTGAAATACACAAAGATGCAAGTTACACATTAGACGTACATTAAGGGCCTGACCCAAATACCCACTGAAAACGGCTGAAAGATTCTTACTGACTTAAAATGAATTGGATGAATTTTTAAAATACACAATTCTAATAATTTTGTTAAATGTTATACTAACCTTCAATGCCGACCTTGACAAGTTTACATTCGGCAAGGGCTTTAAAAGTTGTGTCAGATAGATGTGGGGAGTCAAGGAAGACAACAGACATAATCCGCTGGCATTTTTCAGTCAAAGCCTTTAAAGGGAAAAAGGTGAAATAAAACATTCATATAGCTGTGCTATGTCACACAATAAAAAATCAGCAATTGTTCTGCTTATAATACTTAATGTTATATTTTCTAACAAAGTTATAATCCATTTTCAACATTAACTTCTAGATAGTGAGCACTACATAAAAAATCAGCTGAAATTCTATATGTATTTATTATCACTGGGAACACAAGAAAAAGAAGTAAGCAACTGGAGGCATGAAGCATGGCTGACACCTGAGATCAGTGATCTGGTTAATAATTACTTTTGCAGAAGCCTGAAAAAACTTTTCCCATACCATGGGCCCACTAGGCTTCACATATTTGTGCAGACCTAATTACTGAATGGGGAGTTCTGCACAATAATCAGTAGCCATATACTATAATCTGTTCCCACATATTATATTTAACACAGAAAAAAATGGATAACTCTCATTTATAAGCCAGAAGATCATATTTCAGTTACACTAACATGGGAAAAGAAGAAAGGACACTTGAAAGTTTCTGAAAATGACTGTTAACAAGATTTGTAAACATAATTAGATAGCAGTTTTCAAAGATGTTTTAGGAGAGAAATTTTCCTCTAAATTGTATGTGCATAACTTTCCTTAAAGTTGGTGGACAGAGCAGCCCAGCTCAAATACCTCAAAACAGATTTATTTTCAATTTCTTACTTGAATACATCTGTCTGTGAGAGTTGGCATATCATTGATTAGCAAATCCTGAATCCTACTGCAGCCATTGGCAATATTTCTGAAGCCATCAACTGAAATCTGAGTAAGAAATAAAACATTTATGTCTTAGTAAGTCTAACAAAAACCATAGAGGAATGGCTTGAGATATGTTCAATAGTTTAAAATTATTTGTATCTAGACGCTCACTTATCAGGAAATGTATTAATCTATCTGACCCAATAAAAGAAAAAAAGGCCATGAGCTGTACATATTATTCTAATATTTTAAAAGCATAATCCATATCCAGTATCTGTTTCGAGAATGGGTCATTTTTAAGCAAGTAAGAATAAGGCACAGCAGTTTCCACAGTCAACGCCATTTACGGGAGCAGCAGTGAATGTCATTGACATGTCCTGCTACCTTTGTTTTGCCAGCTTTATGGTGAGGCATTCACATGTGGCACATGCTCACATCTAGTTTGCAGCAAGGTTCGAATCCATACTGTGGTAAAATATCTTAATTTTTTTTTCCAGATCCGTGGTAAAACAGCTTAACAATTTTTTCCTAATTTGTACACAGTAAAGTATGTTACTGACAGCATTAGTGATATGCATGTTTGACATGCCATGCTAAGGAGCTACACAGTGGTTTACTTTCTCTATTTACATTTTATTGTGTACCCCTAGTTGCATTATACATGACCAGTTTACACACATTCAATTAAATGATGACTTAATTCGATCACTTTAGTGATTATTTTTAAAAAATCTAAGCCAATGCTAGATTCTCCACACCTGCCCAAACCTCACAGCTTTTTTTATCTTCGTAAGCTAATAAAATCCTAACATCCAAAAAAGATTTTTCTTCCAACAACCAGGGTTCTTAAAATGCACAGACTACATGTAAATTCATACCTACAGTGTGCATCACCCACTTTAAAATTACTTCCCTTTAAAAGCATGTTCACTTTCCATGTGTACAAAAGGAGGATTGCACCAGGCATCATTTCAGTTCCCTCTCAACTACAGAATCTCAGCACAGTAACAGCTCTGGGAACGAAGGGTAGGATGCTGGATAGAACTTACGGACTACAGATTTTGAAGAATTCTAGTTACAGGTAAGAGCCTCTCTCCCTTCAAGAGATAGTCAAATGTTTGCTGAAATTGAAACAGCGTACAAAGAAGGATCTCATGCAATCACAGCTATAGGCAGCTGGGTTATAGAATCCTTCACGCAGGACCACACTACCAACCCTGTATACTCTTTGATGAATATTCAGGGAAGGTATGAGTTGGACACATGGATTTGTCAACTGAGTTTACCCTCTTTTTCATCTAGGGAACGTATTCTTCAGCTGCCCAAATTCCACAAATATCAATTCACTTCGGGGCATACAAAGTAGTTCCTTTGACATATAAACCTTAGGTAAAAGACAGGACAGTTTCCTTTTAGGCCCAGACTCTACAGACAAAATAGATGTGAACCATCCCTCCATGTGAAATAGTCCCCCTTGATACTCACATGTAGACATCTTGCTATTTCCCAGGGTTTTGAAGGTGGGAGGATCTCACACAAAGTAGTACAAGGATGTGGCAAAACTGACTGTCAGTGCTGGTTACCATTAAAGTGCTAAACAATGCTACTTGACATTTTAGAAGTTGAAGGTTGTTTGCATGAAGAGTCATAACACACATAATGATCTTGGGTAGCTCAGCCTCTGGCCCCCCACACTGAATTGCAACAGGAATTTGTTGCAAAACAGCCATAAAAATGCAGCCTTGCGTATTCTGCTGAGTACCAAAGAAGGCCTAAAGAGATAAGAGTCCAAAGGAGGAAACTTCAACAATGAAGTGCACTGGGATGGACTCTTACTGTGACCCCCCCCTCCCCCCCAGCTGGGGCAGAAGCCTGACTTGCTTAATTACATAGCTTAAGGGGAGCAGCTGCAGGGGAAAACACAGGCTTTGCTTATGGCATATATGTTGTGTGACAGTGGACACCTTTATCAGACAGGAGTTAGTCACAGCAAAGCAAGCCAAAAGCCATATCACCCTTCACACTTCATTATGGTGGCAGTGCACCAGAAGATGTTTCCAGTTCATGCTCTTGCAGCCTCCAGCCTCTTCAGCACTTTTGACCACCCTCCCCAGTTACGTATCTACTAATGGAATCAAAGATCAAGCTGGCTTTCCTTCCCCTCTGGCACTGGGGAAGGTGTTTAACTGGCTAAAGTTGTGATTCTGTCTCTTCTTTCTGCAAACCCATTTGGGCTCTTTGTGTGTGTGAGGATTTTTGTTTTTTTCTGAACTGAGTATCGGGATCTAAGGCCAAGGCAGACTGCCTTTTCTTTTCTGGCAGAATAGCACATCTTTTAACTTATGGCCAGTCTTCTGGCTATCTAATTATGTTTACTGTCTTCTATCCTATAATGAGTATGTTTTCATTTTTTTCCTCTGAATTTAAATGTTAGCTTTGGAAAACTAGATTACCTAACATTAAGAATTTGAGAAGGTTAACATAACTTTACCAGAACATGCCATTTTCAGTTATACTTACTGGTCAGACTGAAGAGATTTTGTAAGATTAAGTTCAAATGTATGCACCAGTTGCAGATCAGTTAGAACTTACTCCTATGACTGCTAATCAAAGGAAGGTATGGAGCTTACAGGGTTCTGCTGCCAAATTTGTTACTGATGATTGTGTTAACAGTTAAGGGTACCTACCTAGCTTGGGTACCACAGTTAGATGCACAGATAGAGACAGCAGGACTACAAGATCCCTCATGCCTAGGCAACTAAAATTCAGAGGCAAATACAATTAAATGAGGGACCATAGTTACATTGCATCTTGGGTTTAGTTATCTATTGCTTTGAGTAACATTTAAAAATATCACTGCCTGCAAAAAATAAATGCAGACTCAGAAGCCTATTTTTAAGCCCTTGTTTTGAAAATGTTAGCTGTTATGGTTATCCTGAACTGTGAGATAAGAATTTGGGGGTTTACAGGTCTGGATAACTGTAGAAGAGGAATGACGGTTGAGAGGGACTTTAAAATCAGAAAAACAGGTAGGAAAATGCTAAGCCAAGAAAGTGCCAATAATACTGAAGATGATAAGAAAACAGACTGCAGATGCTAAAGCCTTTGCTTACTCTTCTGAAATTAGGAATATAAATCAGATACCTACGTTAGACAGTTATGATGCCTAAAATGTCTATTTAGCAAATGAAGAGCAAGAAATATTACGAGACAAGTCAGACCAGAAAAAGTCTGAATCATCTCCGGACACTTCTCTCCCCCTCTAATTGCTATATAGATAAATTAAGATAGTTTTCTAGGCATTAACTTATGTGAGAGGCCTAAAATTAAGTGGGATTCCAGTTCTCAAAAGGATAGATAGTAGGTAGCATGTAATTAGATCAAACTCAAGAGATAGAAGTAGCATATCATTTTCTGGAATTCAGTAAGGACTGCAATAAAGTGAACCGTAGTTTAAAAGACTTTTAATACCTTTCCCTAGAAAAGCGCTGTTTGCTTAACAAAGCAATTTGATACCACAAATAGCTGCAATTCAGTGTTTTACTCCACGACAGCCAAAAAAATTATCCTGAAGCAGCCAATAATACCACTGTTCAGATTGTTTTAATTTTATGACTTAGAGAAAAGTATTTTTTAACTTAAACCTTGATAATGGATCTCAGACACCAGCTGGAGGAAGTTCAAATGTGAAACACGCATTCAGATGGCAATCAATTAAGCTAGTCCACATTTAGATCCTGCTGCATTATCATATATATTTCTCTTATATTTCTCTGTACCTGAAATAATGTCATCTTAATCTTGAATTTCTTTTCTAAAGCCTCATTGATTATTTAGGCACACTTCTGGCATTTTTGGAGATAAAGTGTAGAAATACAAAATTTTGCACATGTTTTTGTAAAGCAACTGCCTACTCAACCCACTTGGAATTTCAGTATGCCTCAAGAGCCAACAACTTAACCAGAGAATCGACATCAGGATACATCTGGTATTTAATACTGCATTCTTTGCCCTGGATCAGTAAAATCCTACTTAAACCTCCTTCATCAAACCAACTGTGAGGCAGGATGCTT